ATTTGCTTTCTCCATTTTCATACCATTCAAGGAATTGGGCCACCCGCAAGAGGTGGGTCTTCAACCTCAGCCAAGGAAACCAAGATAATGGGGATGTCCAGAGGTCATCTGAGGTCATTCTAGAGTCTGTCCATCTCACAATTCACTCTAACCACACAACACAGTTCAACCTCCTGCCCCTTACACTGGCTGCCCTCACTCAGCATTTATAAAAGAATTATTTTATTTACATGTGTTCAGGACTCTCTACTCTTTAGGAACCTTCCTTTCCTTCTGCATCGCTAGCAGCTACATTGCCATTCTCTCCCTTTCAGATAAATTACAAAAGTCTCTCCTGTTTCTCATGCCCCCTTCGTGACCGTATGAAGCTTCTGCCTCACACAAACACAGACAAGGATGGATTCCCAATGCTTTCATCCTTGCTAGGTGAACAGTTGTCATTCTATACTAACTTCACAGTGACATTGCACACAAACATCCAGAAACTTGAGAGTAGCCACCTTCACTGTTCATCTTCACGATTTATGATGAGGGACCATGTAAATTTAATTAACTTTTGCCCATCCTGTCTTAAATCATCCTTGGAAATGCTTATTTCTAGTATGTAAAAAAAAAATGACTAAAGCTCTGTTTGAACCAAGGTGTTATAAAATAAGGCCTTTGTATTTTTAATTTTGAATACTATTGTGGGGATGCCTTGGCATGAATTCATGATCACACTGATCTAGTAAATTACTTTCTTGTTAGAACGGGCCTTCTCTTGGGACTCAGAGACACCCCCCCACACCCTTACTCTCCTGGGATTTCCTCCGTCCTGACTTTTGTTCTGTTTGACTGCCTCGGCCTATTACTTAGATAAGTGTTCCTTGAGCCCTTGTCTTGGGCTTTTGACTTTTCATCAGCATCTTCCAAGTGTTGACATTTGATCCTGTAGTTTGTACAATCAGGTGACTCTAGGGACCTCAGGTTATTCAGGCAGCTTAACTTTAGCATACAATAAGAAATAGTGCATGTTTTCAAGATGCTGTCCACAAAGAAACAACGTAATCCCAGGTCCATGTTACGACCCAGGACATCCATAGTTAAGGACAGAGATGACTCACATATAAGTAACGACACACAAAGTTAAGGTACAGACTTCACCCCTGGAACAAACAGAGCAAGAACAGAATACTAGGATACCTCACAGAATGTCCTAACAGTGTGTGTCCTGTCAGTTCCACTCCTGCCTGCCTGCCATTCCTTGTCTTACTCAGTTAAAGGCAGCATAATTCACTCACTGACTTCCTGGGAAATCCAAACAAACAAGCTTTTATTCCCTGTAATCTTATCTCTCAAATATGCGGTCACTCGGCAACCTCTTTCCAATTCCATCGTGAATGCCCTGGCATAGAACCCACGCCGCACACTCCGCTCTTCCGCCTGCCATCTTCTGGATTAGTTCCTTGTCACCACTCCAAATTTCAGTAAGCTTAATCTTTTCAAGGAGCAAACCCTAACTTTAATATTGCTAAAGTTCGTCTCTGGTTTAAAGCCAGCTGTCTTTGCCGCCCTTCTAATCAGTCAGACATTCCTTTCAGGACAATTACGTTTTGTTTTATGAGAGTGTTGTAGCTGCTCTTACCTCCTGAGCAGGGGCATAGGCACGCCATTCCAAAGCTAGAATGCCCCCCCCCGCCCCCTGTCTCCTTCCCTCTGCACAGCCACCACTCACACTTCACAGCTAACCTTCAGATTCTCACTCCCTCCCAGACTTCTCCAGGAACCCACATCTGGGCTTTGAGCCCCCCATATCTGCCCTCAGGGAGCCTTCAGCTTCTCTAATGACAATGGTTGGCTACTTCCTTCATTTGTCTCACTGCTAAAAATTTGTCCTGTCTCCTGCCCCATAAGAATGTTAGAATTTTTGTTCATTCTTGCTTCTACTTACCTGACATTCTATCGCTAGGTTCTAGTCAGGGAGGATCAATAAATGGTTAGAAATAACCAAGGAGCTACAAGAATGAGTGGATGGAGGCATGGATTAATAAAATTGTCTCTAGGACGTAGAGATTAGAGAGGGGAATGCTGTACAAAAATGTTGGATGACAAGGGGCAATTAGGATCTTTGTTAGGCACAGTAGGTGGGGGTTATTGGAAACTTGTTACTTTTCAGTTTCTTAAAATAGAAGTGTGTGTGTGTGTGTGTGTGTGTGTGTGTGTATGTGTGTGTGTGTGTAAGCTAAGGTCAATGTTATGTGATATTGAGACTTAGAAATTCACTGTTCAGTCTAGACTGGCCAACCAGCAAGCCTAGGATACTCCTATCTCCTGCCCTCTACCACTTGGATTACAGCTAAGCATTAGGAAACTTAAAAAAAAAAAAAAAATTCTTCTGGCCCTGACGCTTCATTTGCAACCTAGTATATAATATCTCTAAAAAGTCAAAACCTACGTGCTAGTTTGGTTCAAATTCCTGCTAACCGCGGGCCTCATGTTAAAGACAGACCTTTTGTGGCTCAGAACTTGCTGGCACACTCTTTGGAATGAACTATTCAAGCCTCCCGAGTGCTGCTGCTTAAAGCAGCAGCCTCCTTGACAACTTTTCTTCAGGCAGGAGCCCCGAGCATCAGTAAAAGGCACTGCGGGAGGCTACGGGGGGGGGGGGTGAGGGGGTGGGGGGGATGGAGAAGCGGATTATCCGCTTTATTGTAAAAACCAGAAAAAGTGAGCAGTAACTGGAAAGTAGCTAATCCTTCTGGGAATTCTGGCTAACAGGCCAGGAATTAACCTTGGCAGTAATTAGGCCATCAATGACCCTTTCAGAGAATGTTCAAAGACCTCAGCTTTGTTTAGAGAACTTGTGTGGGTGGAACCAGCTGTTTGCACAAAGAACAGCTTAAAGCCCAGCTGCCCCGCAGCACCACCTTCAGGACCAGATCTCCGACAGCGGCAGCGGGGAGCAGGGTGCAAGGCTACAGGATCTCCGTCCTTTCCGCAGCATGGGGAAGCACAGGCTCCCACCGCCGCGCCTGGCTGGGCTGCTGCTGCTGTTGCTGTCCACAGATGTCTCTACAACACAACAGCCGTGAGTTCCAAAGAACTCGAGAAAGCTTGACTTTAGGGTCTTGTGCTTATTCGTTCCTTTCCTATACAACCATATCCGTCTTTCTGACTTCTGAGGGCCCTTTCATCTCTGAGATTTCCCAACCTCTCCCCCCCACCCCTTCATCCTTCCTCCTTCACTCAGCCTTATTTCTCTTGAGCTCTCTGGATTTCATAGTATCCAAATTCCCCCATGATGTGACTCACCACCCTTCTGGATGCTCGTGTTAAAAGTTGGTCTTCAGAACCCCAGAGATCTTGTGGCTCTGTTGAGGCGTTGTCCTTCTTGCAGCCTCCTTCACGTTGCTCACACTGTTAGATAAAATAAAGACACACCTCTCTACAGTGGCGCTTTGGCCAGGGATTTACATATCCCTAGGAAAGGTTTCCAATGTTGCCACCGATGCTGAGAAATTAAGGGCTTAGTGACCAAACAGGACTTTGTGCAAATCAGATAGTAATGAAGCCTGTGTTTCAAATAAACAAGAAAGAACCTAGGAGAGTAGACAGACAGACAGCTAGAACAATAGATGGGACCATACAAGAGGATGTGCAAAAAGTGATGACAAAGACATAATTATTATCTACCATTTATTTATTTGTGTTGGAGACCGTTTTTCTTAGTATATATATTTACACAAAAGAAAAATGTTGTTTGTTTTTGTGACATGGATCATCAATGTTCACTGGGTGGTGGTGACACAATTCTCAATAAAGATGTAAATTGTATATTAAACTTCTGAATTTGGTAAGTTGTATATTATAACTTCTGAAAATAAGAAAACATTTGACACAAATTTATAGTCACACATTTAAAAGAAGAGCTACTGTTATATTTACATACCTGTGGCTTGGGTGTATCACACATCCAGGTTGGGTAACCCACAAGTATATACATTTCATGTATAAGTATATATGTGTATACACTTGTTAATAAAACATTGAGTTGTTCCTGAGATATTTTGAAGCACAAGAAAATCAGAATATAAACATCTAGGTAGTTAGCAGCACAGACATTAGAATTTTTGACGGTTACAAAAAGAACTTTTACATTTTATTATATATTTATTTTGGAAACAGGTTCTTGCTATGTAAGCCTGGCAGGCCTCATGGTAATCCTCCTGCCTCAGCTTCCCAACCATGTGCCACCATATCTCTCAATATATATTTTTAAATAGGTGATATTACTTACACAATTTAAGATTCTATGAAGAAGTTGAAATCTAATTTAAGAAAAATTAAGCCTTATTTTACAATGTCAAAAGAGTATATTTGCTTATTGTTTAAAACTGTGATAAAAAATAGAAGTCATCTTGAGAGTATGTAAGAGGTACATTGGCATTTAAAAACAAACAAACAAAACACCTGATCTTGAGAGCTGCTATTTGAAACCGGGGTGTCTTTAGTCACAAGTTACATTACTGAGAAACTATCTGCCCCACTCCTGAGTTACTGGAGGATGGACTGGCTATGTTTGAATGGAGCTTTTCTCTACATTTAGAAAGGCAAGTACATAGGATGTAAGCATCCAGGCTGGGTAACCCACAAAGACTTTGTCACCTGATTGCCACAGCTGAGACTCTCAACCACTGACTCACTTCTTGTGAGGCTCGGATTCCTGTTTGTAAAACAGAAGCAAGTTGTTGGTGTGTGGGTTTTATAGTCTTGCCGGATACAACCCCCCACCCCCGTCTCTATTCTGTCTCTATCTATGTCTCTTTCTCTTCCTCTCTTCACTACAATGGCCTGGGAGGGAAAGGGGGAGGGGGTAATTCATACGCCATTCACAGCAGTTTGATGTCCTTCTTCTCTTACCGTATCGCTAAGGATGACGGTGATAATGATGGAGCTGTGAAGGGACAGAGTGATGTTTGTGGCCCTCTCCTCTAATTTCGTTCCTCCATCCCCAGAATCTACATGATGTTGGTCCCCTCCCTGCTCCAAGCAGGCACCCCTGAGAAGGGCTGCCTCCTCCTCAGCCGTCTAAATGAGACAGTGTCTGTGAGTGCTTTCATGGAGTCTGTCCAGGGAAACCAAAGCCTCTTCACCGACCTGGTGGTCTACAAGGACTTATTCCAGTGTGTCACCTTCACTGTGAGTGCAGCCACTTGGCTTGTTTGTCTCAGTTAGGGAGTAGAGATCCAGAGTTACCAAGCTGCAGCACTGGGTGGAGGCAGCAGGGCTGGGGGCGGGAGTGTTCAATAAAAAAATTCGAAGGTAGCCACTAAGTATAGAGACTCGGTATCAACTCATTTGCTTCATGTAAATATTATAGGTATATTGAAAATAAATTCAATGATCAATTCCATTAGTCTAAAACAAACAAACAAACAAAAACCCAACAGCTTGCAGGAGAGAAGTGGGGGAAATGTGACTTTTACTTAAAATTATTTTTTGAAGCTTATAAAACAAACCAGGTCAAGGTTAATCATAACCCACCACCTATACCCTGGACATGTGTCCAAAGTCTCTTAAGAGCTGGATGCATGGGGGATACTTGCAATCTAGTACTAACAAAATACTTTCTTTTTCCATAGTGTTAAGACCCCTGCATCTACAATGCCCTGTTAGTGTATAACAACTTGATCAAACACAGTGTGCAACCGAGTCCAGGCGTTACTGTGTTTCCCATACAAATCAGTCACAACTTTTTTGATTAGTGTCTTTTCTCTGCTCGTATGCTTGGGTCTTCCCATTTGTAAAATGTCAGAATTCCTACCTAGGCCCACTTCCCAGATAAGAACAAGGGATGTAATGAAGCAAAAAGAATGAGATCTCCGTGGAGGTGTGGGACAGGGAGATGAGGAGGCTGGAGAGACTCACTGGGTTTCAGACTTCCTTCCATATTTCAGGTCCCACGGTCTTTGTCCAATGAGGTGATGTTCCTCACTGTTCAAGTAAAAGGACCAACTCATGAATTCAGGAAGCGGAGCACAGTGCTGATTCAGAATAAAGAGAGTCTGATCTTTGTCCAGACTGACAAACCCATCTACAAACCAGGACAGACAGGTATGATGAGGGCTACAGTTAGGACAGCATCAAAAAGGAAGCTCCTCTCCCTCTGCCTGTTCCTCACAGTCCCTGTGACCCTTGTCCCTTGCCCACCTACAGGACTGGTCAGGGGCTCATCAAAGTATTTCTGTTTCAGTGCAATTTCGTGTTGTCTCATTGGATGAAAATTTTCATCCCCTTAATGAATTGGTAAGTCTCCTATTATTTACATAAAATCATTGTTATTTTATAAACTGGCTAGGACCCTGCTTGGGTTACTGAGGAAACAAGCCTTGGATAACACAATGATTTCTCACATTGCAATAGTTCAGGTCTTCACACTATCCCAGGTCAAACATTCAGGAGCATGTTCTGCCATGATCTGGCATTCGGTTGCTTGTCAGTTTCTAACTTTCTCCAGTTTCTAACTAGGAAGAGTAAGAAAATAAACAATGGACATCTGTTCAAAACTCCAAGTTCAAGTATTTCTTAGAGATTTAAATCTTTTTCAAACACACCAAAATCTCCACTATGGAAGACGTTGTGAGTATTAAATTTATTCCTTTGTGAGAATTCACAACTCTTTCTACCACAATGTGGGCATCAGACCAACCTTCCATTCTCAGTTGAGTTTTCCACTACATCTTCCCATCTTAAAAAGAACCAATTCTCTTTTAACTCCAAAGACAAAAGGAGATGCCATGACCCTGGCTTTTCTGTCTCTCACACCTACATCTGCTTCACACACAATCATGTTGGCTCAGAAAATACCATGTCTTACTACCTGAATTGTTACAACTTGGCCAACATCTGTAAACAAGACCATTGCAGTAACCTTGATATTTGTCTCCCAGCTTCTGCTTTTACTCTACCTAAAAGTAAATATGATCGCCAACACACTGTCAGATTAACGTGTATGTGATATATATACATATATATGTATATGACAAGCATACACATATACCAAACCCTATACATATGATGTCATCACATATATGTGCATGTGTGTTTTCTTTTTCTGTCCATCCCTCTAGAATAAGAACAGACAGACATGTTGTTCTTTTCTATTCTGCTGTGTTCTCGACATCTAGAATGACACACAATATATAAGTAGATATGAAATAAATATTAGTTTTATAAGTGAATAAACATGAGTTGTAGAGAAGCTATTCCCATCCTTTATCATTATTAGAAGCAACTAATGATGAATATTAGTAACTGGGTTTAAGAGTCATTACTTCCAGCACCATGCATTTATTTTTCAGTCTGTAAAGTTGCATAGCAAGGGAATGTTCTTGAATGGGATGCTGCAGCTCTTAGATAATATTAGTAAACCCTATTCCTAACAATAGCACACAATATATAAGTTCTTTTTTAATGTTTTTAAATAATTTATTTTTTTATGTAATTGGTGTTTTGCCTGCATGTATGCCTGTGTGAGGGTGTCAGATCTTGGAGTTACAGACAGTTGTGAGCTGCCACATGGGTGCTGGGATTTGAACCTGGGTCCTCTGGAAAAGCAATCTTAACTGCTAAGCCATCTCTCTAGCCCAGCTACTAAATTCTTAACATCGCCTATTAATTTTTTGAAATGAATTAATTGAAATGGGTAAAATTTAATTTTAGAATATATATACAGGTGTGTGTGTGTTGAGTTATTCCACATATTTGAAAACAATATACAATGCTTTCTTTTCTTTCAGATTCCTCTACTATACATTCAGGTAAGCAACACGAATAGTCCATGATCAGGAGAAAAACAGTCATTTCAGGGGAAACCTTCTTTACGGACTTCTTACAATCATATGATAGAGACTTTGGGGAAGGAAGAAGCCCCCAGCCCACCCACGAATGGATGGCTGGAACTCACCTGCCCTCTGACCCTTGTCATTTACCCACTTTATGGATAACATGGAAGCTTCCATAGATTTCTTCCATTATCTCTGATGTTCTCTATACTTCTATGAATTATGTTTAATTTATTATAGGACCCCAAAGGAAATCACATTGCACAATGGCAGAATTTCAGGTTAGAGAGTGGCCTTGAAGAGTTGTCCTTTCCCCTCTCCTCAGAGCCCCCTCAGGGCTCCTACAAGATGGTGATACGGACAGACACAGGCAGGACCATAGAGCACTCCTTCTCCGTGGAGGAACTCGGTATGGATAGTGAAAAAACATGGAATGTTGTCCTTCATAACTGAGGCATCTAGAGCTCCTTGTTTGAGTACATTTAGATTCCGTTTGTTTCCCGTGGATGAGTTTTGGCTTAGAGTAGAATCAATTACATCCAAGTCCAATGGGGCACCAGTGCTTGGTGAACAAAATTTAGTTTGGTTGTTTATAGCAAAGCTGAATGGCTAAAATATTGTTTCAGTAGTGAGAGGGGGAGGGAGGAAGGAAAGGGAAGGGAAGGAAAGGGAAGGGAAGGGAAGAGAGGAGAGAGAGAGACTCTTCAAAGTTATAGTCAACGTCATAATTCCATAATCAAAATCTTTACTTGAAAATGAACTAAGTGTGAATCAACTGAAGAATGGAGTTACCTTTACAAAATACCAGGATATTGTTAGAGAATTGTTACAAGGAACTAGGAAACGTTAAAGCCTTCAAATCTGAAGAGCGACACTAACCTCCCTCATTGTGGTCCACAGTGCTTCCCAAGTTTGAAGTGACTGTGACAGTGCCAGAGATAATCACCATCCTGGAAGAAGTGATGAATGTGTCCGTGTGTGGCATGTGAGTTGATGAAAACAGCAGCAGCAACTCTTTGAAGCAGATTCGCCATTTGAGATACTTTGGCTGATTTCCCCAGGAGCAAGGGCAACATGGGAAATTTAAGCACCTTGGGAATGTTCTCCTGTTCCTTTCTTTCTTTCTTTCTTTTTTTTTTTTTTTTTTTTTTTGTGTGTTTCCTTCTTATGTTCCTTTATATCGTCCTTATCAACATTTCTGTAGCTATCGTAAGGTGGGGGCCATTTATTGAGAGGCCACGTGGCTGGGACTGACTCTGCAAGTGAGACAACACACAGGCACACACACAACTATGCTGAAGAATGCTGGCTTTCCCTTAGCCATAAGGGATTCCAATACACTTCGGAGGAAGAAAATGATGCATGCTTACAGAGGAATTTCAGTCGATAACAGGTCACTCATTTCACCTTGCAAATAGTGGGTAAAAGAGAGTAGATTCAGAATCAAGATGATACTTAACAGGCTGCTTTTGGCTGTCACCTCCCTCTCCCCACTGCCATTTTCACAGAGTGGCTGAACATGCTCTCTCAGGGTGATCCGTTTGAATCCAGAAATGTCTGAAGGATCTTAGGCCCCGCAAAGGACCTGTAGTGGCACTAACGGAACAGGAAGCCAAACGACTCCTGTTGCCGTGAGGTCATACATGTGGCGCACATACTGTCAGTTCCTTCTGAGTCATGGCCACCGAGTCCCCTGTAACTGCTCAGCAATACTCTTGCAAACAGAGTATTTCCTTCCAAATAAGGAAGGAAACCAAACAATCACATGGGACATTAATACCACAACCCTATGTCTTTTATAAAAAGTAAACAAACATACAATCATATACACAGAGATTTATACTGAGGACACATTTGGATAGTCTGGATTCTTAAGTCTTTCTGAAAATGTTTGTAGTTTTTATTAAGTTTATTTTGTGTATTACTTTTCTTTTAAGAATGTGAAATCACATATCCTCTCTCACTTGTGGGTCCTAGCTTGTAATATTCACATGAATGCATGTAAGTAGGGGTGCATATGGGCACATACTACGAGAGTAGGAGACCACAAGAAAGAAAAGAGAGAGAGAGAGAATATTTGTGGCATGCAAGTGGAGAGGGGAGATAAAGGGAATGGGCAAGAAGATTCGGGGGAAGAAAATACTATTTGAAAATGCCATAATGAAACCTCATTTAATTCTTAAATAAAAAAATCTATTTAGCCTTTGTAAATCTGTAGCCTTCAGATCATACTGAAAATTTAAATTTAAAAACTGAGTATGCTGATACATGAGTGTGATTTGAACACAATGAAATCTGAGGCAGGAGGATGGTAAGTTCAAGGCTACCCTAGGATATCAAGCTATCTCAAAATATATTAATTTATGATAAAAAACATCAAGGTTAAAAAATACGTGACCAAAGAAGAGTGAGGTGAGCTCCAGTGCACGGCATGGAGGCTGAGTCCAGTCAGTTTGTCAGCTTCTGGTGTGTAATGAGTGACCTCAGCACATGGCAGAAAGAAAACCTGAAAATAGACATGTTATAGTTGGAGGGGACTTATGGAAGAAAGCAACAGGGATGTCCAGTGCTTGCTTTGAGTCATTTGGCAATATTCTCATGGCAGATATACCTACGGGAAGCCTGTTCCGGGACATGTGACTGTGAGCATTTGTAGAAAGTACAGTCATCCTTCTAGCTGCTTTGGTGAAGAGTCCTTGGCTTTCTGTGAGAAATTCAGTGAACAGGTAGGCTCAGAGCTATGCCTTGTGGGAACTAACAACAAACACCTTGTTTGTTAACAGCAACATAGTGCTAAGCCAGGGCCAAATTCTATGATACCTTTAAGAAACTTAAAAAAGAAAAAGATTTAGCTAAAAAATATTTGTCTTTTGTGATTGCCCAATGTGCATGTTCCAGAATAACAAGTCAACCCATCCAAAGCCTTGCCAGGTATCTTCTGTAAAAGAAGGAGACTCACCACACATCTCTTAAACCACCTTGACCCTGAAGGGTATCAGTTCTGTTTTCTTTTTAGAAGCCAGAAACCATTACTGTGTCCCATCTAGATGCCTAGGAGGTGAGATAGTCATCAAACAGATGACCAGTTAATAGCTGTCTGCCATGGGAGGGGACCCAGCATTTGAAGAAGTTAGCCCTATTGCAGTAAGATTACCTAAACCATTAGCGTATTTCTCAATTAATCTTTCTAGGCAATGTCAGGCAGTAAGGAATTGTATCTGTCAAGTTATACACAAGATATACAAATGACTAGTCCCTGGACAGTGCACACATAATGTAATATGCCTAAATTATTTTATCATTCCTCCTAAATTCTGCCAGATGTAACCCATCATTAATCTATCCACTATAATATGCATTATGCTTTTGTGTTTTATCTTCTCCCTTATTAGCTAGACAGCCAGGGCTGCTTCTCGCAGCTCGTGAAAACCAAAGCTTTCCAACTTAAGAGGCAAGAATATGAGATGCAGCTTGAAGTGAATGCTGAGATCCAAGAACAAGGAACAGGTTGTGTGTTGCATGGGTGTGGGAGAAGAAATGACATTGATTTCTTGCTTGGGCCAAATTATGAGCTGTAAGGAAAGAGGTAATGATATAAGACATTCATTGACATCGGCCTTCAGCAAAAGAACATCTTCCCTTCTGTTTCAGATGTGGAAAGAACTGGAAAAGCGTCCACTAGAATCACAAAAGTCTTAACCAATCTGTCATTTGTGGATGTGGACTCACATTTCAGACACGGGATCCCATTTGTTGGACAGGTGGGGTATTTTTCATTCACCAGGCCATATGCTATCAGCACTCACATCATGTGTACAATGTCTGCTCAGATTGTACCTTGCTAGTGCTGTCAATCAATGTAGCCTGAAGGGGAAAATATATAACCAAATATCTATTAGCTAACTGAAAGTTATGATTTACAAAAAAATGGATGCTTTTGTCTTAAAGTTGAATAGAAGTCTCTAAAATTAGCCCAAAGGCTTAACAAATTGATAAGGATTTTTAAAGATCATTTTTAGAACAGCATTGTTTAAAATCAGTAAGTCTTTTCATGGACTACTTAGAGATTTTTATGACATTATCCCCTAAGCCTGTCAAAATTCACAATGTCAAGTCATGTCACCCTTCTGAAATCGACTGTGTGGAAATGAATATGCAGGTTGATTTTCCTTTGTATCTAGGGTTTTTCATAAATATTATGTTACCATCAGTTTTCTGTAAGAATAGGTACTTTTAGACAGCCCTAAATCCAGAGATAAAGCACTAATTTGAGGTTTCTAGTCATTTGTAATAACCTTTCTTACAGACCTGAGACAACTTCCCATTCTGATTTTTCTGTTGTAAGCAGATGTTCAAATGACCTTTGTGACTCCAGAAATCTAAGGTGACAGTTGTGTCCACCTCAGTGTATAACTACTGTGTATCATGTTTTTCAGTGAAAAGGTTGCTTCGATGTGAAGGCTGTAAAAGACAGGACTAGACTTAAATGAAATAGAGTACATTGTGGAAGCTTCAGTTTTGGTGCCAGAGCATATTCAGAAATTTTACCCACTTCCTAAAATCAAAGTGTAGTCTATTTGAAATTTCTCAGAAGTATATTATAATGTCTCTAATTTAATGCTTGGAAATTACTTTATTGTCTGTCATAAGACTCACTTAGCAGACGACAAAAAAGTGAAGTTGTGAACCCATTCTTGTGATTGCACATGAAGCTGACATTTTCTTAATACACCTATATTTGATTGCTAGGAATACTGACACATGTCAGCCTGTTCTGTTTTCTGCTACCAAATATATGAGACAAGTGATATGTCAGTTATCACATTGGACTTTATAACTATGTACTATGTGGTAACTAAAAATAGAAGCATTTCAAAGTAGAGTTGGAGAGATGGCTCAGCCATTAAAGGCTAGGCTCACAACAAAAAATTTCAAAGTAGCTTACAGTAAAAAAAAAAAAAAGTCACCAACTTTATAATAGGGACTGGGTTGTTTATCTATCTATCTATCTATCTACCTACCTACCATCTATCTACCTACCTATCAATTTATTTATTTATTTTGCCGAGTTCTGTATCAACAACATTTAAGTTTTAAAACCTGATTTCATGCTAAATGTGCCTCCTCTATTTTACATTTGGCCTATGGAAAGCACATCAAGTCTGCATATTTTCCAGAAGGCTGACCATCTAGGATGAGAAGCAGGTGCATACATTTGTCAGCTGGAGAAGCAATTGAAACCTGTAGTAAAATTCTTCTCTTGCATACATAATGACACGCCATAACATTAAGCCGTAGGAAGCTATCTTGTCTACCACAAAATAAGAGTCTGAGGCTCAAATACTTTGACAACTGAACTAAACTTTATATCACTATATAACTCTCATTCTCTATAATCCCCTGTGAGTTATGTAACACACAGTCATTGCAAATGAGCCACGATGCATCTGCCATGGCACTAAGAACTTGAAGATCTTTTGCTTTGTATCTCCTCACACTCTGTTTTCTTCCTAGGGTTGATTACTGCTCACTAAGTTTACATTAGTGGTATGTTTATTTAGCATCTGTCCCTTTTATCACCCTGTAGTCCCTTGATAGTACCACAGGGCCTGGCATCGTGTGGATGCAATACCTAGGTACAGACATTTGCTTTTAACCTGCAGGTGCTCTTGGTAGATGGGAAAGGAACCCCTATCCCATATGAAATGATCTTCATCGAAGCAAATGAAGCAAACTATCACTCGAATGCTACCACTGATAAGAATGGCCGGGTGCATTTCTCCATTAACACCAACAACATCATGGGCGCCTCCCTAACTGTCATGGTAAGTATGGAAAGAGGTTGCTAATGACATGCATTAAGCCTTGAAAATGAAATTGCAACCTAAAGAGATGAAATCTCCAAAATGTGATTTAGTCCTATGGGGAGGAAATAGCCGTATAAGTTACAATTTAAGGTCATCTTTAGTAGTTTTAATAAGAAAGTAATGCTGTGACTAAATATGGGTGCTCTAGTTTGTCAAATGGTGCATACACTGAAAAAAATAATGTGCCACTTTCTCAAAAAATAAATTGAAAATAAAAACAACTGGAGCTTCTATAAAATTTAGCAGTCTTACTACTATGTACATTACTGTTCATCCAGTTGCATGACCATAGCTAATGATAACATAAAGTATATTTCTAAATGCTAGAAGGAAATGTTTTAACTATAAAAAAATATTTTTTTGTTTGTTTTTTCCCTCACTGTGTAGCCCTGGCTATCCTGGAACTCCCTCTGACCAGGGTGGCTGCAAACTTACAGATCTACCTGCCTCTGCTTCCCAAGGGCCACCCAGTTTCTTTAAAACATTTCTTAATGTTTATGCTAACAAATAGGATATTTAATCTTATTTAAATAATTATAAAATTCAGAACTACAGAATGCATTCATCACATACCTAAGACAGGCACAGAAAGGATATCAGCTAATTCTTCAACTCAGCTCTAGCCAGTAATTTTGCAGTTGTTTCCTCAAATCTATAAGGTTACACTATTTCATTTACCCATAAACTCAGTTGGAACTAATTACCAAAGATGCCACTACCTTGTGAATTAGTTTCTGGCGTTTACTCTCCCTGATGAAGTTCTGTAGCTCTGGTGTCAGTCTGCTTGGCAAATGAACAAAGGGACGGTCAAGCCAACTAACCAGCAAGACACACAGCTCATGATGCTCCCTCCCGCTGTATACATATCAAATTCTTCCCTTCCGCTGTATCAAATTCAGGGTGTTCTGTGGTGGAAAGTCACAACCATGACTGTATTTAAGGCAGACAAAATAAGGGTCTTTCTTACCTCTACTGTAGAGGAAAAGACTCCTGGCTACCAGTTAAGGAGGGGAGGTGAACTTACAGAGCAGTGTAAAGACAATGGCTCCCCACATACCATTTAATGAAATAACATGGTTTTTATAATTCTGCAGGCCAAATACAAGGATAACCATGTCTGTTATGGGTTCAAATGGTTAGCGGGGGAGAATGTGAAGGCGCAGTACACTGCCAATGCAGTTTTCTCACCAAGCAAAAGCTTCGTGCACCTGGAGTCCATACATAATAAACTGTCCTGCGACAAAACACTGCATGTCCAGGCACATTATATCCTCAACGGAGACGCTGTGCAGGAGCTGAAGGAACTGGTCTTCTATTACCTGGTGAGAAGGAAGCTAACCACGTTACCCTCTACAATAAAGCTCTCTGGGGACATCACGGCTTTCACTTCCTTTGAAAGCTTATGATTTCTATGTATGCGTGTATCTGCGACTATGCCATGGGTGTGAGTGCCTGGGGAGGCTGGAAAGGAACATCCAGTCCTCTACAGCTGGAGTTCCAGGTGGTTGTGAGCTGTCCGCGGCGCTATGTGTGCTGGGAACTGAATTTGGATCCTTCAGAAGAGCAGTACCGCTCTTGACTGCTGAGTCATCTTTCCAGCGCCTGGTTGCTAACTCTTGTTTCTTCCTAAAATCTGCCTTCTCCTGGGGCTGATCATTTCCAGCAGGGGCTCAATAAGACAAGCATGTAGAATGGAAGCTAGGGTAAGATCTCTGTTGGAATTATTTTAATTTCCTGTTTTGCAGATAATGGCAAAGGGAGGCATTATCGTATCCGGGACTCACCAACTGCCTATGGAGCAAGGGGAAGACAGTGAGTATGGCATTATCTCCACAGTTCTGCTCCATGCTGACTACCTGGCCTCATCACCTGTCAGGAATGCTTCCAAATTCCTGACAGGAAAATGCTTTCTCCTTTCCATCTAGTAACAATAAAGAGGAACCCAGGGAGGAACACAATGTCCTTTGTGTCATTTTTCCCCCAGTATATTTTGCTTAGGTTACTTAAGCTGTTGATAGGGTCATGAGCATACTGTAGTTATTTCAGAATTTCCAGCCAGAAATACTTGTGGACTCTTTTCTCAATGTGAAGGACATTTTAGAGTTTAACTGGAGATGGGAAAAACTTTGGGTGCTTCTACTTACTAGGCTTTGTGTTAAGCTCTCTCCCTAACCTCTCTGTCCTTCCCTGTTCCTTCCCAGTGTGTGTGTGTGTGTGTGTGTGTGTGTGTGTGTGTGTGTGTGTGTGTGTGTGTTTCTTCACTGAACTTAGTAATGATTTGCCAACGTTCAGCTGGGCATTTCTACTATGGAACAGGAATGCTCAGGAGTAATAGAATAGTAAACACAAGGTTCCCCTGTGTGATGGGGTCTAAACACTGACTTACTAGAAAACTATGAATGAGTGCCAAAATGCAGGCACTGCAGTGCCCATAGGCATCAGGGCTGGCTTCTGCAGGAGTGCAGACTTCCTCTTCTGAAGAAAGGGGGCACCGCCAGATGCTTCCCAGACGGAAAGAGGGTATAAGCATGAACACAGCATGTTAACTTCATACTGTCAGCCTCACACTTCCGTTTTCTCCTAACATGAGGGATCCAGAATGAATGATGGGGAAGTTGAAACCTCCACTCCCTCCGGTGGCATCTGAGGTTAGTGTCAGCCAGCTAAATCTCAACAGTGAAGAGGAAAGAGTATATGACTTATGTAGCAGAGAGGATTTCATGCGATTGCCTTCTCCAGAGCCAGGGTTCTACAAGCTAGTCACACTTGTTATGTGTACTGGCCATTGTGTCCACTAATAGGAGCAGTCATTGCTCAGGCCAGAGACCCAGACTAGCTCCGTGTGATGAAGTAACTCATTTTCACTCTGAATTTGTCTAACCCAAGGTTGCTGTGTCTTCTGTCCCCTCCAGCGAGAGGCCATTTCTCCATATTCATCCCAGTGGAGCCAGACCTGGCTCCTGTGGCTCGACTGCTCCTTTATCTCATTCTGCCCGATGGTGAAATAGTTGCAGACACAGTCAAATATGAGATTGGAAGCTGTATGGCCAACAAGGTGGGTGCTTTCTATAATAAAACGCCAGGGTTTATAACTAGCATTCCCTGGTGTTAGCCGCTCTCTTACACACGTATGGAGTGAAAGGTTAAGCGAATGTCCCAGCAATGTTCTATGAGGTCACAGCAGAGTCACATTAAGAAATGATGTCATTGCCTCATTTTCAAAATTCTCTGTGCAACACTGCTTGTGAACATATAGCCCAGATCCCAGTAACTTCATCTCTGTGGTGGAATATTAGGAAGTATGCAAGCAAGTCTAAAGGCCACAAGAAGTCCAAACAAAAACACTTAGAGTTTTCGCAGCCCACAAATCCGGAGTTAATGAGCACTCACTGTAATAACAGACACTTTAGAAGTATTGTAGCATAGAGAGTCCTAATGTTATCCCAGGGGGAGAGGACATGAGTCTAGCACTCTCCTTAAGATAAGATCATGTAGAAATACATATATTAGTAATTATGAGTTAATAATTTATACAGAGCTAGCCACTAAGAGGCTCTAGCCATTGGCTAACAGCTTTATAATTAATAGAGTCTCTGTGTTATTTTGGGACTGATCCTGCTCTGGGACCAAGCAGGCGGGTAACTGTTGTAACAAAATGGCTCCTGCAACGTGGGTACTAAGACCTTCTACTAAAAACTTGACAAAAACTTAAGAAGGGAGTCTAGAAACAAAAGAACAGAGACAAGCAAGGCTTCTTGGTAGCAGCATTTTTCTCAGGAGGGCTCTGTTTTGCCAGACACAAGCAGAGACTGAGAAGCTCCTTTAAGGGCGGTTTCCTGACTCAGCATAAGCAGAAAAAAAACACACAGCTCTTTTGAGAGGCCCTGCTAACAATTCAGTGTTGTGTACGAGCAGCTGGCAGTGGCAGTGATCAATCTCCAAGCCAGCAGCATGCTGCTTGATGGCAGCATAGACCAAGGCAGTGAGCACAACCCTCAATGCTGGCGGGAAATGTGCCCCTGACATATTGGAAAGCCTGTAGCTAAAACAGCTGCCGCTTTAATTTTAGCAATGTTGTTTAGCAGATAAAAGTCTTGTGGCCAAAAAAAAAGATAAAGGCATATAGTAAAGAGAGATTCAGAAGGAAAAAGTAAAACCTCAAGGTTTACAGTGTGTTAAAAATATACATAGGCTTATGAAAGAAAAGAAGCAGGATACATTGTTTGTAAGGAAGGAAGAAAGAAAGAAAGAAAGGAAGAAAAAAGAAAGAAAGAAAGAAAGAGGAAGGAAGAGAGAAAGAGAGAGAAGCTGGGTGTGGTGGCACACACCTTTAATCCCAGCACTAGGGAGGCAGAGGCAAGCAGATCTCTGTGATTTCAAGTCCAGCCTGATGTACAGAGTAAGTTCAAGGGCAGCCAGAGTTACATAGAGAAACCCTGTCTCAAAAAAGGAAAAAAGAAAAGAAAAAAAGGACTAAGAACTATTGTAGCATAAATAATAAAAACCCAGAGACAGATACGGGGTTCAAGCTGAAGATCAGAAAAGCAAATCGGCCAGCCACTAGAGAGTTGTCACCTCTACCCATGCTCAGACAGAAGGGGTGATCCACTGAACCTCAGATTGCGTCTTCAGACTGCACTGCTCTCCACCAGGCCTCTGAATCCTAGACTGCTCTCTTCAATGTGGCTGCAGACTAATGGCCTAGGACTGACTTGGCTTCTTCCTCATATACCTCTCTAGTGCTGGGATTAAAGGCACGAGGTCTGTTTCTCTTTTAGACTGATTCACTCATGTGTAGCCCTGGGTGGCCTTGAACTCACAGAGATCCACCTGCCTCTGTCTCCTGAGTCCTGGGATTAAAGGTGTGTGTCACCACTGCTGAACTTCTATAGCTAACTAGTGTGGCTGGCTTTGCATTCTGACCTCCAGTGGCTTTATTAGATCATAAACAATATATCACCACAAAGTATCTTTAGATTTCACTACAATGGTGAGAATCAAAGTAAATTCCCAGATGGGAAAGAGCCTTACTCAGGTAGCATAACACCAACCACCGTGAAAGCAACCAACGCTGTCACTTGCTGCAAAATGTAAGGGACACAAGGTGGGGTACAGAAACTGATTTTTTCTGACCTTTCTTTCCTATATGTCAGGTGGATTTGAGCTTCAGTCCAAATAAAGGTCTTCCAGGCGCTCATACCTTCCTTAGTGTCACAGCTTCTCCACAGTCCCTCTGTGCTTTGCGAGCTGTGGACCAAAATGTGCTGCTTATGAAGCCTGTGGCTGAGCTCTCTCCATCCTCGGTAAGTCCCTAGCAGCTCTGGAGATGAGAGACAGTCATCTGAGGGCCTTGAAGCAAGGAGAAATGCTGGAATTATATAAGACCTATTGAAACTATAGTGACATTAAGGGGGAGGGAAAGAATATGATCAAAATTAATTACATGAAATTCTCAAAGAATAAATAAAAGCATAAAAAACAACTATAGTTCTCTATAGGTTAATAGTTCTGAACTCTTTGATAGGCACTTGCTTAGTGAGGAAGATGCTTGCTTACACACAATCTCTCCTATTTCTCATTTCCTCTCACACCACTAGCTTCTGCGGGTAGAAAAAAAATGATGCAAGTATTTTGCCTAGTATAGTGAGCCAGAGAATCAATATTTTGAAAATGTAAAAAAACAATACAAATTAGTCAGAAAGACATATAATCCAAGCATCAATGTCATGTCTTGCTCCAGATCGCATGGGGATATAAACCCAGCTGGGACTGTGTTGAGCCACTGAGCTTAGCGGTGTAGGGAAGTGGGGGGGGGGGACACAAGGCAGACTATAAACATGCTCAAGGGAGGTATAGATGTATAAAATGAAGAAAGGTTATTTCTGATTGTAGAACCAGCAGTCATGATAAAGTATACTTATGTAAAAAGAGCACAGAGTGCCCAGGACCCATACTCTACAAAACCCATTAATATTTGTTTTCAAACCAGTTTTAATGTCTTAGAAAGCCTAATGAAGATGAGTACTTCGTGAAGTGGGTCTACGTGCTTACACCACGGCTTCACGAACTCAATGATATTTCAGATTTCTGTTTTCATAAGAATGGTGTTCAGTAAAATAAGGAACAACACAAAGTGAGCATCATTACTGACAAAAAGATAGGCTGATGAATAAAAATTGAGAAAATAAATCGCTGTATGATAAGCGACACTCACAATAAAATACTTGAGAATACAGAGTTACTGAAGGACATAACGGAAGGTAAGTTGTCATTACCTATGACTACTTACCAGAATATACTAATTGTAGTTTGCTCATTTTCAGTATGAGGCCAGTGGGAATATGTTCTTGTTGAACTTTTTATGGAAGCTTACAAAAGGAAGTAATAGATTTTTTACTTCAATAGTAACGTGAATGTAGTGTTGGCAAGAAGGCTCAATGAATAAGGGAGTTTTCTGCCTATCCTGACAATTTGAATTCAATCCCCAGAACCCACATGGTTGCATGGTTGGAAGGGCAGAATCACTCCTACTACTTGTGCTCTCTCTCTCTCTCTCTCTCTCTCTCTCTCTCTCTCTCTCTCTCTCTCTCTCTCTCTCTCTCTCTCTCACACACACACACACACACACACACACACACACCTTAAAGAGGACAGTGTGGTGGCACACACCTTAAAGAGGACAGTGTGGTGGCGCACACCTTTAATCCCAAAACTCAGGAGGCAGAGGCAGGAGAATCTCTGCGAATTCAGGGTCAGCCTGCTCTACTCAGCAAATTCCAGGACGACCCGAACTATAGAGAGAGACCCTGTCTCAAACAAACAAGATTTAAGAAGGAAGTGGAGATGTATGAAAATATAACTTATTGGTCTTTAGTTGTTTTACCTTATATTATTGTTGTATGTTTACCTTGTGGGTGGGCGTGGGAGTGCTACGGTGTAGACCACATGGAGAGGTCAGAGGGCAACTTCCAAGTGTCAACGCTGTCCTCGCACAGTGTGCTCAGTGACTGAACTTGGGCCCTGGGGAGTGCATGGCAGACACAGCTGCTGAACCATCTCATCACAGTCCACACTGCTTGGCCTTTCCACATGGCATTTTAATAGAATATGTTAAAATATATAGCCAAAGGGCATATTTAAGTACATTTCAGTAAGCAGAAAAATAGCACTGTTTTGCATGTGTATAATACAATTTTTGCTCTCAATCGTTAAGGCTTCGTCTCCTTTTAGCATCGAGTATAGTTTGCTGTTGAATGGTGTAAACAAGTATGATGGCCCTCCATTAGTTAAATGGGAAAGTACATTAAGTTTTATTTTTCTATGACAGTTAAACATCTTCAAAATGAAAATACATTGTGATATAAAAACCACACATAAAATGATTTCTGTTGAGTAAGAAAATGTTGCACATCTCAGTGCTTGAGGGAAGCTGGTGCTGCTGTTCTTGGATGCTGTTTGTTTAATAAAAGGCCACCGATACATTAGCCCTAAGTGCTTGCTTTTCCTCAGGTTTATGATCTGCTCCCAGTGAAAGACCTCACTGGCTTCCCTGAGGGTATAGATCTGGAGGAAGAAGGCAACAAAGATTGCATCAAGCAAAACAGCATGTACATTAATGGCATCCTGTATTCCCCAGTGGAGAATACGAATGAAGCAGACATGTATGGCTTCCTAAAGGTAAACTCCTTAGGTTCATAACGTGTCCTAGGTGGAAGAGTTATTTGCTTCAATGCCTTCTTGTCACAGTCTGAACCAACAGAATAAAGGAATTGAGTGACTTCTTTGAGGTCACCAGCAAGAGCAGATCTGCCAAACACAGGGGAATCAGGACCAGTTTTAATGATTAATGACATTTTCTTTTAATTGAAATTCATTGTTTTGTGGTATTTATAGGTATCACGTATAAAATTACTACTGTTGGGTGAATTTATGGAACAAAATGATATTAACCCCATAGTCAAACTAACATTTCCACTTTAGATGCAAATATGGGAAGTTTAATTCAGACAAGGGGAGGTGTGTATGGCTATGCACTGATCAGCTGATCATCTCCTTTGTAGGATATGGGGTTGAAGGTATTCACCAACTCAGATATCCGTAAACCTAAAGTCTGTGAACGGCCCAAAGGCAGCAAAAGAGGTTAGTGCCAAAAATACTGCACCAAATAAGTTAAAATTTAAAAAAATAAAATGTGACCAAAATTAACAAAAGACTCGATTCAGACACGCTCAGGCCATTGCATAATGATCATAACAATATACGCTCAGATCTGATATTGTCACCCCTCCACCAACTACAGAGCATGGAAAGCAGATTGTCAACAGTGGCCTAAGAGAAGTACAGATCCAATACAGGCACAAAGTAAAGAAAGGATGGCCTCTGAGGAGTCAGGAAGTCATCCACCAAGAACTGCTGACGGCTGAAGGGGAAGGGATGGTACCCAGGAGTTTAACTATGAAAACATTGTTAGAAATGTTCAAAAAGCAGGACTTCCTTCTCCAAGTCAAGTGAAGATGCTCTTCAATGGCCCTAAAGTATCCTTGAAGACTCTTCACTGTTTTCAGTAATATAAGCTAGCTGTTCCTTTGCTGAATCATAGTAGGCAGTGTGGATTTAGTATTATATTGTTAACTAGTGATGGGCCGTGTTAAGTGTGGAGAAAGTTAAGTGTGGAGAAACGGAAGTTTAGGAAAACATTGAGTGAGAATCTATTTTCTATGTGATATTTACTAAGAGAATCAGATATTTTTATTTATAAACTGTAGAATCCTTTATTAATAAGATTTGTAGGAAGCTTATATATCTTTCATCTGCCTGTGTATCTACTGCCTATCAATATGTCCATCTGTGTACATTTCAATAAAGGGAGTGGCTGTCACAGTAGGGGAGAGCTGACTGGCACTCTGACTCACTATAGAGTATAGAACTTTTCTAGCCTTGATTGCTCTGTTGGTGTAAACTCTTTCTAAAAACCACTACCATCTTTTGGGTTTTGTTTTTGTTTTGTTTTGGTTTGGTTTGGTTTGGTTTGGTTTTCCTTTGCTGCCATAGATGAACATGTCAATGGCAACCTAGGCTTCTGACCTGCTCTCCACCCAACACCGTAGGTCTCTTCCTTTGGCACAATGGGCAGTAGCTTCCTGGGATTCCACAAGGCCTTCTCTTTTGCACACAACCCAAGGCTTTCTGTGCTTGGGAGTTTCTTCGCCTGGTTCAGTTTGTTCTAATGCCTCAGAATTCAGCTGAATGCCACTTCCTTCCAGAAGCCTTCCTGATCGCCCATAAGTCCTTTCCTGATTGCCCCATCTCACCTTCCTGATCTTTCAGTGGCAGCACTTGGATAGCACAACATCTCCTGAATGCATTCTTGGTATTTATTGCCTCTGTTTTCTCTGTCTTACCGCAGTGCCAGCTGCTTACAAATTCTTAGGCCAAAACCCCATGGAGGATTTTCTAGAGGCTTCTCAGTCTCCCAAGGAAACTATACGAAAATACTTCCCTGAGACCTGGATCTGGGACTTGGCAGTTGTGGAGTAAGTAATTTATTTTTACACAAGATGCAGAAGTATAGATCCATGACAGTTTTTAAACTTTAGTGGGGTTTCCCTTTTTAATGTATATATTTAGGATTGCTTTTGCTTTCACTGTAAAAGCATCATGAAGGCTGAGCAATGTAGAAGCCTCCCAGGCTAAACTGATTTTTTAAGTATTTATTCCACCATAAGTGGGATGCTTGTCTTTCTTTCTTTTCCAGATAGCTTGTCACTGGTACTGAAACACAAACATACTTTCATATATTGATTTTATATCTAACAGCACCACTGGGTTTATTTATGTTAGTTCTAACAGTTTTGTTTTGGTTTTGTTTTTTAATAAACTTCGGAGATTTTCTTCATTTAGGATCAGATGATCTGTAAACAGGGATAATTCGTCATTTCCAACTCAGATACTCTTGACTCCTCTTTCCTCTCTAATTACTCTCGGCAGTACTCAGTCGACGAGAGTGGGATGGGATCCTTATCTTGTGCTAGATCTTACAGGCAAAGCTTTCTGGTTTTCTCCACTGGTTTTAATGCCAGGGGCTTTCATGAGCAGTCTGTATTATATAGCTACTTTATTGGGAGTTCATAATATGAACGGATGATGACATTTTGTTCTGTACCTATTAATATAATCATATGGGGTTTACTTTCTATTCAGCTAGTGTGGTGTGTCATTCTGATTGCACTGTTTTGCATTAAGTGGTCACTACATAATCTTTTTAATGTCTGGTTGGGTTCAGTTAGCTATTGTATCAAGGAGTGTGGTTCTTGATTTACTTAAGGCATTGGCTTATAGATTGATTTACTTCTGGGCTGCTCATCTGACTTTGATACCTGACTGAGGCTGCTCTCTACTCCCATTTTTGGATGTCGTTGAAAGGCTGGTGTTAATCCTTAAATTTGTGCAATTGATCAGTGATGCTATCTAGTCAGAAAAGATACACAGAATGATTTCGTGCTTTTTCACGTTGTTGAGTCTTGTTTCTCGACCCTGGAGAGTACCCTCTATGTGCTTGAGGAGACTTCAAAGTCTGTTATTTTCCCTGACAGTTCTATGTGTCTATTTGGTTGATTGTTTTTCAAGTTTATTATTTCTTCATGGAATTTGTCTGCGCATTGTGGCTATGGTTGAATATGGGGTATTGGGATATCCAAGTATTAAAGAGACACTCCACCAGCTATCCAAGCCAAAGATTCCAGGAATTTCTTGGATCTCTGTGCTTGTTTGTGCCATCCTATTTGTCATATGGTCACCAGGAACTTAGCAATTACCAAGATCTGTCAATGCCTTGAGGTAGATGGGATGGACACTGATCTGCTGAGATGTGGAAATTGTTTGCATGTTAAGTGTCTGTTCCTCTGCCTTAGTTCCAGGAAATGGGTGCAAAGCCAAGGAGAGGGTCTGTAACCATGGCTCCATTCTTGTTCATATTGCTCATATTTCAGAACATCCTTTCAGTTCTTATGTCCAGGGGCCAACCTTGTCCTTTTGCTTCCAGAGACAGGGCGAGCTGTTGGTACACTTTGATCTACCTCTGGAGCCATCCAGCAGAAGGAGCAGTAGGAAAGGCTCACACCTTTGCTACTTTAAGGGCCTCATTCCCTGGGGGAAAACAATGTCACCAAGTGTGTGGTCAGACTTACTCCAGGACAAAACTAGAAGCAGAACACTTGCCACTTGTTCTGTTTGTGCCGATGCCTGGGAGAGAGTCACTGGTCACAAGCACACATTTATTGCACATTTTCTCCTTGTTCTCCGTGGTATCAGAGATCTGGAGCATGCACGCAAGGTCCCTTCCCTGAGATGGGTGAATTAGTAGGCAGACCAGACTCTTGGACAGAGCTACAAAAGCTGAGATGTTTGATAAGTTGACACATTCCTTCCAGGAGGAGCCAGAAACTGATTTTGTCATTGAAGCAAAAACCTGAGGTATAATAGCGGGAAGTGACCACCTTCTCTTTGGGCTCTTAGCAGTCTTCCATGTGACCTCCCCGTCTTTCAAGTGGGCTAATAGGGAGTCCAACTCTCTGAGAGCAGTGAGGCTAAATGAATCTCTTCTAGGAGAAGCTAAAAACTCTTGTCCAATTTTTCAGCTCCCAGCTGTAAGCCCCATCGCTGTTTTCAGGAAAAGCTACCACGTTACCTGTATCTTTTGAGTCAAAAGCAAGACTTTTTGGAAACTTTTAATCATAAGATTCTAGAAAATGGGCATAAGGACCAAATGTAAGCAAACACAGTACATATTAAAGAAAAAAAAAGAACTTCCCCTTTATTGATAAGCAAACGTAAATTAAGCTTTGAATAAATCTGGCCAAACAAACACAATAGTAGCAAAAGGAAAATCTAAAGGCCTACCCTAATGGGATCAGATTTTGTAACAGAAATTGAGAAAAGTATCAGTTACATACACAGTTTGTAACTATGTTTTTCTGTAAGAGATTAGCTCAAATAATCAGGAGACAATCCTAAAATGGACTTAATTAAAAACAGGAGAAAATATCACCATTGTCCCACTGAAAGTCTTGGCTCTGCTCTTCAATTACTGCTCTTCAATGACCATTGAATGACTTATAGGGCTCTCTTCCTGAAGGAGATTTATTTAGATGCTCACTTTCTTTACTTCACATCCCACCCCTGGCAGCTCAACAGGAATAACTGAAATGGACTTTATAGCACCTAACACCATGACTGAATGGAAGGCCGAAGCCTTCTGCTTGTCCAATGACACTGGACTGGGCCTGTCTCCTGTGATCTATTTCCAAGCCTTCCAGCCCTTCTTAGTGGAGCTCGCGATGCCCTACTCTGTGATCCGTGGAGAAGCCTTCACGCTCAAGGCCACTGTGCTGAACTACCTCCCTACATGCATCCGGGTAGAGATTTATTTTCTCAATTGAGCACAGCAGATTAAAAGAAAGTCTCATTCTTAGAAGTACCCCCCAAAAAAAGTTAAAAGAAAGAAAAAAGTAAACCCATCCTGTTTCTACAAATATGATCAATAGAAGAGGCTATCTTACATATATTCATATCTTATGGAAATGAATATCTCTAAGAATCAATCTACAAAGACGAAATCCCGACATTAACCACAATCCTTTAAGGTTAGGTCATTTGTAGAATAGAAATATTTTTTACACCAGCAAACATCACCATACCCCTTCTCATGTTTTAGAGTATGTAGATCCAGCTCCTGCATTCTTATATGTTTAATTTTCTCTTAATGAATTCATTATATGTAGCTTCATTTAAAATGTAGTTTGTGTACATCTCACCTCTGTCAAAACCATAACTACTTATAGGTTTTTAAATATTGACTGAGCCAGGGAATAGTAATGATTCCAAGTCCCAGAAAGCGCTCACCCAGGCTACATTTCTTCGTTATCTTTCTTCTGACTCTGCCCTTAAAAGATCAAGCAATTCTCCAAGTGCTGAGATGTATCTGTGAGATGCTAATCAATGTACCATAGCACTGCATCTTTGTCTGACTTGTTAATGCCAGGCAACATGAAATCTAACCATCTCCAAGTATGCTTCAGGTTACACTTGGTCTCCTACCTTTAATCTTGTTTCTGGTGTGTTTGCAGGTTGCTGTGCAGCTAGAGGCTTCTCCTTATTTCCTAACTGCACCAGTGGAAAAGGAACAAGCGTCTCACTGCATCTGTGTGAATGAGCATCACACTGTGTTCTGGGTAGTAACCTCAAAGTCATTAGGTGAGCAGCAGAGTCCCACAGGATTGACAGTTACTGCAGAAGCAGAGCTCCTGTCTGCAGACAAAGACCTTTTTTCTTTTACTTTCATTCCAGAATGACAAGCACTGTCAGGTTTCCTGGTGCACGCCTGCAGTTCAGCACTTAGAAGGCTGAGACAGGGTCAACCATGAGCTCAAGGCCAGTCAGGGTCAATCATGAGTTCAAGGCCAGTCTTGCCCAGATAATGGAGCCCTGTCACAAATAAAATAAAACACCAGCCACAGCAGAAAGAAGTCTTTTCATGTAGGACAAGGGTGTAAGAGACCCTCACTGACCTCTAGTGGCTGTTGCTTCCATTTCTACTCCTGTGTTTTTACTAATCGAAAGCAACCCCTTGTATATTCTGAGTTTGGAAGCATGGAGGAAGGGGAAATGTACTCATCCCTACTTGGCATTTTTTTTTCTAGGAAATGTGAATTTTACTGTGAATGCAGAGGCACTCAACTCTCAGGAGCTATGTGGGAATGAAGTACCAGGGGTCCCTGAAAATGGAAAGAAAAACACAGTCATCAAGTCTCTGTTGGTGGAAGTAAGTATGCCTGCCTACGTAAGAGGACACACGGAGTCACCAAAGAGTGAAGGGTTCAGGTTGTCAACTCAACTCTTCAATTTCTGCTTCTAATAAGGTTCATAATAACATAAATATGTAGGTAGTGTGAAAACAATAATACATTTAGGCTTCACAATATTTTCATCTCTATCAATCACCCATCTCTCTATCTCCTACCTATCATACTTTTCCATCTCTTTAATAAGTTTCATTAATCTTCTCTCATTTTCTTTTCTATCAACCAATCTTTTTCATATACTTATAATGAATAAACTTTATTCGTATGGTGTATCAAATCTGTCTGCTCACTGTTAGGGACTCTATGGTCCCTGAATCAACAACACACATACCCTGAAGGTCAATGCATTTCATCCCCCCTTTTCTTTCTTTTACCTGCAGCCTGAAGGTGTAGAGACTGAGGTGACATTCAACAGTCTGCATTGTCCAATGGGTAAGTCTCAACCATTATAGTTAAACTCACTCTGACTAAGACTCCTATAACATTTGAAATTCAAAGATTGTTTTCACATTCTCTATGGGATAAAACCTGAAGTGTCATCAATACACGTGACAAATGAGTCAGAAAGCAGTTCCTAAAGAGGTCAACGTGTGGTGGTGTGACCCTATAGTCCCAGCACTTGGGATGCCAAGGCAGGGAAAGCAAACCAAACAGACAAACAACAAACATTCATTACAATAAGAGAATTCTTTCTAAAAGACAAGAAGATAATTCTTCTTGTGTTCAGACTAATATCTGGTTTCTTGGCACCAATTTTTGAAGAGCCTCTCCTTTTCTCACTGTGTTCATTGAAAATTGTCTATACACTTGTGGGTTCATTTCTAATGTCTCTATACTTTTCCAGGGTTCTATGTATATTTTGATTTAAATATCATGTGATTTTAATTATGTCAGTTTTGTAACATGCTTAGATACAGTGTAAAGCCTGGGGTTCTGTTCTTTTTGCTTGTGATTGCCTTTGCTGTTTTTCTGCTCCCACAACTATTTTAAGGTTGCCTTTTCAATTTTTATAAAAAATTATCATGAAATTTTGAAAGAGTTGTATTAAGTCTATAGATTTAATTGGTTTGGGTCATACAAACTTTTATTTATTTATTTATTTTTGGTTTTTGAGACTGCTTTCTCTGTATTGCTTTGGAGCCTGCCTTGGAACTATCTCTGTAGACCAGGCTGGCCTCGAACTCACAGAGAGCTGCCTGCCTCTGTCTCCCAAGTGTGGGGATTAAAGGCGTGCAACACCAACGCCTGGCCATACAAGCATTTTTACAATATTTTTCTAATTGATGAACATGAGATATTTTTCCATTTATAGGTTTTATTTTTAAATTCAATGCTTCATACTTTCCAGCATCTTTTTTTTTTTTTAATCTCCTGTCTTTAGATCTTGGGATCTATTTTTATTTTATTTGTATGAGTGTTTTGCCTGAATGTGTACCATGTGTATGTGTGATGCTCACAGAGGCAAGAAGAGGATGTTGGTTCTCCTGAGACTGGAGTTAGAGATGCTTCTGAGCCACTGTGTGGGTGCTGGGAATCAAACCAGGTCCTCTGGAAGAGCAGCCACTGCGCTCAACCACTGAGCCATCTCCCCAGCCCCTGTTTCAATTTCTTTTTAGATCGTTCATCGTCAGTATAATAACACTGCTGATTTTTGTGTGTTGATTCTGTGGCCTGAGGTGTTATGTTCATTTACTGCTTGGAATGCCTTTACAGTGGAGGTTTCCTGCGATCATCACAACAGAACGATAAATTTTACTTCTTCCTTTATGGTTTGGGTGATTTTCTTTGTCTTGTTTGATTGCTCTCAGCAATTCTGTTGCTGTAAGTAGAAGTGAAAAAAGTAGAGTGTCTTGTTTCAGATCGTAGAGGAAAGGTTTTCAAGTTTTCTCTGTTGAGTAAGTGCTGCCTTTGTTTGTGTTAAGGTATATTCCTCTATGCCTAATTTGGTGAGGGTTTTTATCAGGAAAGTATTTTTAATTTTATTCAATTTTTTTTTCATGTAATGAAACAGTAGTACTTTCATTCCTCACTTTGTCTGGCCTATGGTAAACCACTCTTGCAGCCAAGGGACCAGTCCCAATTGATCATGGTGTATGATCCCTTAAGTGTGGCATTAGGTTTAGCTTGCTGTTACATTGCTGATAATTGTCACACCTGTGTTCATAAAGATATTTACCTGCAATTTTCTTTTCTTGTAATGCCTTTGCCTGGGAAGGTTAATCTTACAAAAATTATTTGAAATTATTCCTTCTTTAATGTTTTTGGAAGACTTGGAAAGATTAGTGTTATTTCTTTAGATAATTTATTGATTTGTCAGTACAGTCATAAGGTTCTAGACTTCTTTAAAGGCGATTTTAATACGAAGTCAGTGTTCTGATTCATTTTTGATATGTTAAGATTTCCTATTTCTTTTTGATGAAGCCTTATTTGGTTGCAGATCTCCAGAAATGTGCCCATTTCTTCTAAATTACCTGATTTGTTGCTGCATAATTATATTATTTCTGCCAGTGTGTGGTAGCTTGTCTTGTTCCAGCTGCTCAGGAGGAATGTTAGTCACTTACTTGAGATCCTCCTTCCGATTGGGTAATGGCTGATTAATACTATGCAATTTGCTCTTAGAACTGCTTTGTCTGTGGCCCATAGGTTTGGGTATTTTATGTTTCCCTTTTCATTTGTCCCATGGTGTTTTAAATTTAATTGGATATCAATTTCTTCATTGATATACTGATTCTTCAGGTGCTGGTTGCATAATTTCTAGACACTCATGATTTTTCCAAGATTCTTCCTGTTGTTATTTCATGACATACTTACAAAAAGTGATTGTTTAATCTTGTGGCCTAATACATGATCTACCCCGAATAGTGTTTTATAAACTTCACAAGAATGGGTCTGCCCAGAACAGAACCCTAGATCCTTCTCTAGCTGCCTAGACTCCTGTAGGTGATCAGGTTTCCCTTTCTGCTGTTCCGCCAATGTTAGCCCCAGGAATGGTCGTTTTTTTGGGGTTTTTTTTTTTGTTTGTTTGTTTTCTTTTTTATTTTATGTCTTTAGGATTATTTACCCCTCCTGTACTCTGTACTCTGTCCTACCCTCCACACCTGACCCCAGTTTAACCCTTCCTGTTCCATTGTTCTTCTTTACCCTTACAGTGAGGTTTATCTTCCCTCCCTTGAGCATCCCTCTTCATGGCCCCTTAGTAATTTCTTGATGTCTTGGTTATTCCAAATGAACCATACGTTATGAAGATTCAAAGCTGTTATCCACACATGAGAGAAAACATGTGACATTCGTCTTTCTGGATCTTGATGACCTCACTCAGAGTGACTGTTTCCACCTCCATGCATTTTACCTCAGAATTCCACAATTTCATTTTCAATAGTTAATAATGTCCTACTGTGTAAATGTACCGCATTTCATTATCCATTCATCAGCTGATGGGTGTTTAGGCTGTCTCCACTTCCTGTATATTGCAAGTAGAGCAGCAAGGAACATGGATGAGCAAGTGTTTCCAGAGTAGGACTCTAGGGAGTCTTTTAAGTATATATCCAAGACTGCTACAGCGGAATCATATGGTAAGTCTATTTTTAGCTTTTTTGAGGAACTTCCACAGTGATTTCCATAGTGGTTGGACCAATTTGCATTTCTACTGGCAGTGCGAAAGTATTATCTCTTCCCTGCATCCATTTTAGCATTTGTCATTGTTTGTGTTTTTTTATCTTAGCCATTCTAAATGAGGTAGAATGAAATCTCAAAGTAGACTTATTGTTGTACCTGGAGATGAATGTATCTCTCACCCTCATCAGAGAAGCATCTATTTGCAGTAGATGGGGACTAACGCAGGGACCCACAACTGGCCAAAGTGAAGAGAGTAAGACTGAAGAATGATCAGCCCCAAGGGGGACATGTATACTAACCCCCCCAAATCCCACAAAAGTGTAAGTGCCAGAGGTGGCAAATGACTACAAGGAAACAGTGTTATAGCAGAGCAGGGTACAAAATAGGACACCTACATGTGTGAACTCCCAGCATGCACAAAACCTTATGTAAGCCCACAATAGACCAAATCCCAGCTTGGAAAAGGTTTCAGCACATAAGTACACCCCTAGCTGTCAAGCAAATGGCAGTTTTTAGCTGCTGAGAGAGGAACGGACAGTTGTCTCTAAGAGTATAGCCCCTGGGAAGGCAGCTACATTTTAGAGGAAGACCACAGATCAAAAAATATTTGGACAGAACAAATTAGTACTGAAGGGGCAGAGGGGAGACACCAAGAGTTGGGAACACAGATCTGGAAAGAGTTGCAAATGTGTGAATATGATCAAAATATGTTATATGAAACTTTCAAAAAAACAAATTTTTTAAAAACTAGCAAATGTTTGTAATGGGCATACACACACACGTATATGTATGTATATGTATGTACATATATATATATGTATATATTAAATGAAGGGATTTTGAGACAGGAAGATGGGTGCCAGCAAGGAATAAAGAAAAATTTATCCAAGAATATCTGAGAATTATACTCCATTTGGTAATCAAAAGTCTCATATCTTGACCACATAAATATGATTTATAAGCATTGCTCCCCACTCCATAAAGAGGAATGGCAATCTGTTGTCCTCTATGGACTGTTGTACACTCGTCTGTTAGATCTAAGCTAGAGTGCTGCTTAAGTCCAGTGAGTGTTTTATTTGCATTCTCCTTGGATGGCCTATCTACACTTTAAAGTGGGGTATAAGCAAGTATCCTGTTACTGTATTACAGCTAGTATTGCTTCCTTTAATATTTGTTTTGTCTCTAAACTCTGATTGGAGACATATGTATATTTACAAGTGTTATTTTCTCTTCAAGAATGAGTCTCTATATAATGTCTGGTTCTTTTCACATATTCTTAACTAGAATTTATTTAACTCGATAGAAGTACCATTGTCCCCATTCCATGTGTGTCCCGAAAAAGTGATTGTGTTGTAGCACCACATAGTTGGGTCTTGTTTTCATCCTTTTCATTTATCCTCTGTGATCATACTGGAGATGGATCCCTTTACATTCGAGGTGGTTATTGGCAGGCAAGACCATTTCCAAACGTTAACATTTCCTGGTTGCATAGATGTTTCATTTCTCACATCAGTTGTCTTCTTTCGTGGTCTAATGTTTTTCTGCAGTGTTGTTTTTAACTTTGTTTTCATTTTGATTTGTGTTTCTACTAAAGTTCTTTGTTTTAGATGCCATAGGGCTTAAAGCATCTTCCCTAAAGCAATCTGTCTCAAGGCATCTTCCTCTGAATCTGTGTGATCTAGCTGTGACGTTGCCCTCAAGTTTTCTGTGACTTGGGACCATGGTGGGCTCCCTGGAAAGCAACTTTCTTAGCATGCCACGTGGTGTGGGTGGCTGTCTCTGGTTGTCTTTTCTTCCTGTACACGCTGTGGGCTTGGGGAGATCTCTGTCAAGGGTTGTGCTGATCTGGGAAAAGCAGAAGTGGAGCAATTAAATGGCATCACCTTTGCCCTTCTGGTTTGGGCTCTCTCCGGTTGTGACCCCACTCCAGGCTTCTAAGATTGTTTCTGTATAATGAGACTTTCCAAATAGTCTCTAGTCTTCCATCAGTATACATTTCCATAATGTATGCTCAGCATCGTTATCTATCTCCATTGCTTACAAATGTTGTCAAATCTTTTAATTAAAATTATTGTGAAGTTGTCTTGATTCATCACAGGTGAAGTTGAACTTGGCTTTTTGTTTGTTTGTTAAGACTCATTTATAAAATCCCATCATATCATCTAACCACATGTGTTTGAGTTATTTTGTCTTTTTTTTTAACCTGAGTTAACACTGATAATTTGAGGATCACATTGGGTTCTCTTTCAATCTTACCTGTGCCATCTGACTTCTTATGTGGCTCAACATTAACTTTATGAAAAAGAGATGATGAGTACCATAATTCTGTCACTTTCCTCTTCATCTATTCTATGAAGTTTGAAAAGGCAGCATATATCTATTCATCAATCTTTATTACTTTTTTGAGCAAGTCAAAATGTTTTCAATTGCTATTACTTTATTTTAAGCAAGTCAAACTATTTTCGTCCACTTGGGTACTTCTATGTTTGCTTAGAGTATTTTTTCTTGCAAAATTTTTTACATTAACTTTATGAAAAGGATACATAGGAAATAATTATTATACTTTTAATCTTTATTATAGTGATAATTTTATGTTTTATTAGTCAGGTATTACTCATTTTCTTACTCCTATTTTAGAGTCTTCCATTAAAATATACTTTCTTCATATCCAAAAGAAAGAACATGACATTGTTGTAGCATTTAGGCCTTTTTAGGGTTTTTCTTTGCTTATTTATATACCCGAGTCTCTCTTGGATTTTCCCCTCTCATGATTATTGAGAGAGGAGTTGTGAAGGTGAGTGCTAAAATGGGTCATCTTGTCCCATCACTGGTCACCAGGCAGGCTGTGGGGTGACTGCCACAGAGCCTCTGCCCCACACTCAACTGACTCATTGCTTCCTGTGGAAATGCTACTCCACATCGAGGGAGAACATTTGGTTTGGGATGAATTCTGAAAACCTCCAAGTCCCAATAGCCCCTAAGATCAGAACAAAAACTGTTTTATTTTTGAAAAGGAACTTTTCCGAAGTAGCTTATGTGTAAGGCACAGTTCTAGTTTCCCGGTCATTGATGTCTCTATACAACACAATGAAGAACAGCCTTTCCTGTTGTTGACATGCTTCTTGCCCTATAGGTTCTGAGGAGTCTGAACAGACAATCCTGAAGCTGCCACCAGATGTGGTAGAGGACTCTGCCCGAGCCTCTATTAGAGTTTGGGGTGAGTTCATTAGCTAGGTAAATTGAATGTGTGTGTGTGTGTAGAGAGAGAGAGACAGAGAGAGACAGACAGAAGCTATTTGTATTTACATAGCAAAATTGTTTTACTTTATAATATTTAATTTTTTAATTAAGATATGTAATTTCCCCCTTCTTCCTTCCAACCCCTCCCAAGTACACCCTTACACTCTCTCTTAAATTATTTCCTCATTTGTAAAATTGTTGCACACACACACACTCCTAAATATATTAATACAACTACTCAGTTCATACAGTATTATTTTTCCATAATATTTATTCAAAACAAACAACAACAATATGCTAATACATACCTACAATGCCAACACTTGAAAGCCTGAGGCAGTAAGATACAGAGTTTGTGGCCAGCATAGCAAAACCTCGTCTGAAATATATACATACATACATACATACATACATACATACATACATACACACACACATACCTGAAAATGTAACTTTAACTTCCCTTCTTTGAATTGTTTATTGTTTCCAATAGTGCTTCTGTCCCTGAAATGTGCCCTTTGTAAAATTACTCATTTTTAATATGGCTAATTACTCACTTTTAAATATTTCAGATGTAATCTTAAATTTCATTATTTCCCATCTCTCCCATTCTCTAGGAGATATATTGGGTTCTGCCATGCAAAACACACAGGATCTCCTTAAGATGCCCTATGGCAGTGGAGAACAGAATATGGCCTTGTTTGCTCCTAATATCTACATCCTGGATTATCTGAATGAAACACAGCAGCTGACCCCGGAGATCAAGGACAAGGCTATTGACTATCTCAATATGGGTAAGTATTGGGTGAGGGACTGAAAGTTGACAGCAGAGTTTTGGTTGGATTGCCCAATAGGATTGAGTTATTTATCATTACTATCACATATTATCCCACTGTGATGGCTATCATAATAGAAAACATTAGCATGGTTTATTTCATAGAAACTCTGTACTTTCCAAACTCCCAAAAAACATTCCAAACTCAGAACATACTATATATGGCAAAAAAAATAGAGAGAGAGAAATAGAGAAAGAGGGAGAGAGATAAAGAAAGAAAGAAAGTAAGAAAGAAAAAGAAAAGAAAAGAAACAAAAAGTCACAAGAGATGTCAAACATTTTAATAATCTTTCTGGCTTCCATGGGTATTTAACCTGCCATGTTGTTTCACTAACCTCCCATTGCAGGGTACCAAAGGCAGTTAAACTACAAGCACCAGGAAGGCTCCTACAGCACCTTCGGGGATAAACCTGGCGAGAATCGTGCCAGTACCTGGTAAAGAGAAGCCAATTTCTTGAGCTCTTATCCTGGATTAACTCTTTACATATATTCCAATTATGTCAATAGCAGCTCCGTCATATGCCAGTAGATCTTGAGTGGACCATACTACATGAATGCACTGGTATTAGCAAGTTAACAAGCAGAGAATCTGATAGTCAAGCACACGCATGTTAATTGTGCCCCCAAAAGCCATCCTGGCCATATTATACCAACACAATCTAAACCAGCTCCCAACTGAGAGTTTTAAAGGGATATAGTGAGCATAACGCTTGACTTCTAGGTAAGCCATATCAACTTCAGCTTGTATTAGCTTTCTCAGGTCATGCTTACCTTGACAGGGGATGAATTAATTGGGAGGAAAGAATTAAGACTAATGCAAAAATCTTATTTTTCCATTCCTAAGTAAAATAAATAAATAAGTTACTGCATAGAAGAGAGGGACATGAGAGGATTCTGCCATCCGTAGAAAGACACCTTTAAAGAAAAAGATAAGGGCCATCTCATGCTCTTTTCTCTTCAGACCCTATAAATCTTTTGCCTTTTTAAAAGACCTTCCTCTCAGAATTAAGGAAAACAATTGAGTGAGAAATCTACAGATACTTTATGGCTAAGGCAAATTCTAGGTCTAGCACCTTCTCTGGGAGACTAAAGAAGGGGGGGGGCATCTCAGGACACACGGATTCAATTGAAGGGGGTGGTCCATGAAGCATGTTGATGTGAAATGGTCCTGGAATCCTTGTAAAATCAATGTACCATCACTCCCACTTCACTCAGGCTCACAGCCTTCGTACTGAAGAGTTTTGCTCAGGCTCGAAAATATATCTTCATCCAAGAAGCACACATCACCCAAGCCCTTCTCTGGCTCTCCCATCAGCAAAAGGACAATGGCTGTTTCAGGAGCTCTGGGTCCCCGCTCAACAATGCGATAAAGGTGAGTCATTCCAGGACTGGTTTTGATTTATCTATTATGAGATCGGTGAGGTTAGAGAGGAGAGATCACAGGGTAGAAATTACCATCAGGTCCATCAAAGAACAATAAGATCTAGACGTCACCAAGAAAGACAGGATCGAGTTTATATTAACTGTCATGTATTGACTGGGGGATGGATATTAAAAGGTGTTAAGTTCCATGGCACAACAGAAAAAGAATAGCTAACTGATAGAAGTACTCATATCTCTTCCTCTTGGCCATTCACAGGGAGAGGCAGACGATGAAGTCACCTTGTCTGCCTATATCACCATTGCTCTACTGGAGATGTCTCTCCCTGTCACCGTGGGTACCACTTCCTTCCCTGTGAAAAGATGGTTCTGGATGCAACAAACCCCTGGTCTATTGTCTGAGACTTGAGCTTCCTAAGTACTGTCAGCTTTCCTTCTATGCAGTACAAATGTTTCACAGGTCTACTTGTTCCATCAAAGAAGAAAGGTTTACCTTTCCTCGGGGAGGCACTATGCTGTTTCTGTTCCATGAATATCTCCACTCCTAAAAGAATCCTAAAAATATTATTAATGCCAGATTAATGGCTAATGATAGATGATTCTTCTTTACTTTTAAGAAATTCATGCACGTATACAGTAACATACAATCATATCTACCCCTCTAGCCGCGTCCTCATCAACCCATCCTTTCTCAACTTCATGCCTTTTTGAAAAATATAACCCACAAAGTCCAGTTAGTCTGCTCATGTTCATGAGTGTAGGACCATCCACTGAAGCATGGGACTTTGACCAGTGGCTGTATTCTTGAAACATAATGGTTCTCTTGCCCTCCAGAAACTACTAAATACCAGGAAAGCCTCAGTAGTGGGTGGGAGCTGGAGAGCACCTACCCCATCTATACCAGAATTTTGACTGACTTATTACCATGTAGGTCTCTTTTCAGTAGCTCTAGCTACTACTGTATGCTCATAAGTGTGCTAGCCATGCCGTATTCAGAGGTGAGCATTTCACAGCATCCCTCCCTGTCCTTATAGTCTTCCTGCCTCCTGTTATGTGATGCTTCAGAGCCTTGGTTAGGTGCTATTTTTTTTCTATGTATAAGAATGAATTGGAAAACAACTTCTTAACTCTAGTGCCATGCTCTACTTTGTATGCTTACCTGGGAATGCCAGCACCTTTGTTCACATAGCCATTTCCTTTCTACCCCTCCACCCCCTTCTCAGCATACTGTTATCCGCAATGGCCTCTTTTGCCTGGACACAGCCTGGAAGTCAACAAAGAAAGGAGCTCACAGTGCCCATGTCTACACTAAGGCGCTGCTGGCCTATGCATTTGCCCTTGCTGGGAACAAGGCCATGAGGAAAGAGATACTGAAATCACTAGATGCAGAATCTGTAAAAGAAGGTAAGAGCATATCTGAGATCTTTCTGCTGCCAACATTCTGGGCACCAAAAAATGTACTGCAGGACATCCCTACCTGCATCCATGACCTCTGTCCTCTCTGCTACCTGCTGCCTATCATCTAAGATTTTGAAAATGAAATCACACGTGAAAAAATAAGAAGCATCAGCTGTAGTGGTGACAAGCTCAGACTTGGAGATTGGCTCCAAAATGAACTATTCCTGTGAAGCTGGGCAAGTATCTGTAAATGGGGGTAAGGTTTGCCCTGTAGGGTTGTTTCATTAAGTGCATAACAAATGCAAACACTCAGTGGAGTGTGTGGCATGTGCTAAACGGTATAGAAGTACCAGCTGTCATTACTTACTACTAAGGCATATCAGTCCCTAATCTACATCTGATCCTTACTTGGTGACCTCACGAGAAAGTTCTAGTATTTTGTCTCATTACACAAATTGGTCATGTTGACCAACCTTTTATTTTTTTAATTTTCATATAATATTTTTGCATATATCACAGTCATGTTAGAAGTTAAATAGAAAATACAATGCACATAGTCAATGAAATTGACCTCATCTTTCTTCTTTGATGGTGTTATTAAATGTTTTCAGTAAACTGAGAAATATTTCAGATAATGCAAAAGGCATAAGGAACAATTAGAAAATATCTCGGTAACTCATTCCCAGCATAAGAAAAAAGGTATTCCCCATGCACACACACAAGAAAATTCTATGTTTCATTTCCACCTTCAGAGGTTAGCATTATCTTGAACTTATTATTACAACACATACTTGTGTTTTTGTTGCATGTATCCATAAGTAATGTTTTTAATTTTATAGTTTTCATCTTTACATATGCAGTACCACACATGTTGACATGCCACAGCTTATTTCCCTTTTAATTCTTAAGATTATGCAAATAAACCTCCCTACTAACACTTGTAGCTTTAATATATTAATTTTCATTCTTTTTTATTTTTGAGACAAAGTCTTGTTAGGTAGCATATGCTAGCCTCAAACTGACAATCCTCCTGCCTCAGCCTCCCACATCCTGGGGACATGCCACTATGTCTGACTTCTTGGCTTCTTGTTCCACAGTGGACACACAAGTGCCCATCTCTGTGTGCACGTGCCAGCTTCTCAAAATTATACTTCTAGAGTTGTAAAGACTCAGTGTACATCAGACACTTTTTTCTTTGCTGAATGTTGCCAAATTGCTGACTAAGATAAACTGACTTTCCGTGACAGTCCTTGTCAGTTCCATTCCTTACCAGCATGCCAGCTTCAGGAATTTGAAAGATGACAGTATCTTTTTACAGTTTAATGAGTATAAGCTTCTATTACTTCATGTGCTCTGTGATATTCATAGCAGACTGCTTGGGAAAGGTTTTATAAGATATCCAATACATTCTAGTTAAGCTCAAGATGACATCAGAAGCAGAGAATACCCATTTCTCTCAGTCAGTGAGAAAACTTTCTTCTGTTGTACAACTATAGTAACTAACTTAAGTCATAAGTAGTTAGGGGGCCTGTGACTCTAAAAACACACTCCCTGACTTGACTGGATTGAAATGTCAGTTCATATTTATACCAAAGGGAATGTATCTCTCTAAGATTTGGAAGCGTGCATTAGAAGTTCAGTGCTCACTTAAGCTCTGCCCTGGCTACTTTCAAACAATGAAGTATATATTTAGTCACTAATGAATATCTTCTTCTTACTTCTAGACATTTCCATCCACTGGGCAAGACCTCAGAAATCCATGGTGCCAGCGGGCCTTTGGTTCCAGCCTCAGGCCCCCTCTGCTGAGATAGAGATAACTGCTTATGTGCTCCTTGCCTATCTAACCGCCCAGCCTGCTCCATCCAAAGAGGACCTGGCTGTTGCAATGCTCATCGTCAAGTGGCTCACAAAGCAGCAGAATTCCCACGGTGGCTTCGCCTCCACTCAGGTCAGGGATTGGCCAGAACCTTTTACTTCACCTTCAATTTACCAATTATAAACACATAGGAGAATAGAAGAGCAAAGGTGACCTGAAAGATTATTAATATACAAAGATAATAAGAAGAAATTCAAAGACAGCAAAAAAAAAAATATTCTTAGCCTACAGCACCCCACCCCATCTGTATTACCATGGTCTCCCAGTTTCAGTAACAAATCCATGTGCCTACAATAGTACTAGGACACCAGAAGAAGGAAGGGAAAATTACCTATCATTCTTCTTGAAAGCCAAGACTCTCTTTTGAACTGTTAATGGAACCCTAACTCAACAGTCTCTCCTTTCAAATGTGTCCAGACACTTCTTGGTACACAAAAATATGTTTACTGGGAACATAGTAGACTGTCTTTACTCATCCAATCTCTCAAGCTCAACTATATATTCATGCATCTAAACAATTCATCAGCATGTACCCAGCAAAAAACCTCATTTTCAGACAAAGTAGATGTTAGCATACACTGTCTCTAAGAGAAAAGAGAATATGGAGGAATACAACCTTGCCCTTTTCGATCGCATTAAAAATACCATTATTTTTCCCATGAGAACGAAAGAAATTCTTTGATTAAAAATAATTTTCATTTATTTCTTGGAAATACATTACCTAAATATGCCCTCCCAGCTCAGAGTCAGTGGCATTGAGAATACAGAATACAAGGTGGTATTCTGATGAAAGGGGAGAGCCAAGTAAGAACAGCAACACATCAGGAGGATGTTGGTAATAAATGCTCTGCTTCCTTTGAAGAAACTGAGGCATGTTTCTGAGCAGTTATAAAGGCCTTGACTTTTCATCAGCACAGGAAAAGTTTAATTTGAAAAGGAGGTCAGGCCAAGCTCTGACTAGGGAACAGCAGGTAGGATCATAAGTAAATAGCTGATGCCGATAAAGTATTCAATTCCCATTTACATATACTTTCTACATCCTGTATCACACATGTTTATATAGGGAGAGATAGATAGAAATCAATTTGCTGATGGACTTGTAAGGCACACAACCCAAGATGTATATGTGATGTTATGATCCTGTTATCCACCCGAAAGTTATAACAGGTCTTTAAAGTTTAACTAAGTGAGGAAAATACAAAAATAGGAAACCTAAAACACATGTGACTGCTAACAGAGTTTTGGAAAACTGGAGGTTTTGTATCTATATTAGTGTCCCTTTCATTCCATAACAGAATATCTAAGAGTTATTTACAAAGCACAGAGGCTGATTTAGCTTACAGATTTTGATACTGAAAGTCCAGAGAACATGGGAATAAGACTGATACATATGTGGGAAGACAATACCCTGTTTTAAAACAGAGATCTGATAAGGCCAGGTTGCTCTCTCTCTCTCTCTTTTTTTTTTTTTTTTTTTTGTTTGTTTGTTTGTTTGTTTGTTTGGGTTTTGGGGTTTGTTTTTGCTTTTTGGGTTTTTTTTTTTTTTTGGTTTGTTTGCTTGTTGTTTTGTTTTTTGAGACTGGGTTTTTCTGTGTAGCTTTATAGACCAGGCTGGCCTTGAACTCACAGAGATCTGCCTGCCTCTGCAGCCAGCACTTGAGTGCTGGGATCCACCTGGCAAGGTTGCTCTTTTTATAACCACGTACTCACAAGAAGTTGGCGGGATTCCCACCAGAACATACTCTCTCCCCAGAACAATGTAGCCAGTGATTCAAGGTCCTCTATATTAGTTACTACCCTGTTGCTGTGATATAACACCATCATCAAGGTAATTTACAGAAGGAAGGGCTTATTTGGATTATGGTCCCAGACGTATAAGAATCTGTCATGGCAGGGAAGTGTGGCGGCAAGGCACAGACATGGTGGCAGGAACCAGACACTTTTAATGTCAAGCATGGAGTGAGAGCAAAGTGGCAATAACCCAAGACTTTTAACTCTCGAAATCCACCCCAATGGCATACTTCCCTCCAGCGAGGCTGTACTAACTAAAATTCCCCAGACAGTGTCACCAACAGGGGAACAGGCAAGTGTTCAAATGCAAGAGCCTCTGTAGGACATTTTGATCCACCTCCAATAGCGCCCCCATGGGGACTAAGCTTCAGACTTGCCAGCAATAAATCACTTCCAAACGTAGCAACCCCTGAGTGAGCTGTGCCATTCATCTTTCAGGACACTGTGGTGGCTCTCCATGCTTTGTCCAAATATGGAGCAATTACTTTCAAAAGAGCTAAGAAAGCTACACAGGTGACCATCTGTTCTTCAGATTCATTTTCTACAAAATTCCAAGTGAACAATGGCAACCAATTATTACTACAGAAGGTCAAGTTGCCAGCTGTGCCTGGGGCTTACACTGCAAGGGTGACCGGAGAAGGTTGTGTGTACCTCCAGGTGAGACTAAGGCAGAAGTGGGGCGCCCCTGGAATTGCTCTCCCTGTAAAACCATAACCAGCAAGCAAATGGCCAAGTCAGAGGGTGAGAGCTGGGGGACATTGTGAGGAAAGGACAAAAATTGATTCCTGTCTTGACTGTTCCATAGACGACCTTGAAATACAATGTCATCCCGAAAGAGAAGGTTTTCCCGTTTGCTTTAGTGGTCCAGACTCTGCCTGGGACTTGTGATGATCACAAAGCTCACACCAGCTTCCAGATCTCACTGAACATCAGGTAAGACTCATTTTCATAATCCTGGGGGTCGGGGGTGGACAACCCATCTTCTTACCGGAACATCCCACTAAGCAAAACTGTTAGATAGTAAATGTTTTGAAAATAAGGTATTCTCAGCAATGGAGCTTATGCTGTCTGTCCTCTACCTTCAGAAGTTAATTTCCTCAAATAATTACTTACTTCTGGTAATAAATAAATGAACATTATCACCTTTTGTCTATTACTTGAATTCCTCCTATGTAATGAAATTTTATAGTAATCTTGTTCTTCACAGAAGAAAAAAATACTTGGAAGACTTAAATTTAAAAAGCAAGTAGTGATTCTTCCATTGTAATCCCACTGTCAATAAATAAATCTAGTTATATATAGTATAATTGGTTTGGAAAACAGCAAGCATGTCCATAGCAATAGTCAAATGGCCACAGGATTTAACAAGAATATATCCACAAGACACTGTGAGTTGGTAGTCTACTCTAATTAGGGAACTGTGGAGACAAAATATGAATAACAAAAACCAAGTATAAATTAGAGGCCTCGAGGGCATGTCACCTGCCAAGCTTCCTTAAAACAGGTCTGAGTCCACAAACTTGAAGTTCTGATTCAAGATCTGGTCTCTATGGATTTACTAATTTTTAGCCAAATCCTAATGCATAGCAAGTTTTTTCAGGAGCCTGGAAAGTCTTATGTATACTTTGTGGAATGGTGGAGTATTCAATATATAGACAGAAAATCTAAATAATACAGGGAAACCTAAGTCTTCCTTCCCTGGATCTTCAGTTACACCGGAAGCCGTTCTGACTCCAACATGGCAATTGCTGATGTGAAGATGGTGTCTGGCTTTGTCCCCTTGAAGCCAACAGTGAAGATGGTATGTTCACTATATGCCAGAACAGCACATTTCATTTTATATGTTATGCATCTGCAGAGCTAGATAATGTTTATTAAAATACTATTACATTGTCTTAAAGAGTTATGCCTCCTCCAAATGAAGTGTGTTTGTGCTTGTGTGTGTAGGGTTGTTTAGACATCAAGGCTACCAGGGAAACTTGTAAACATATTTAATCTTTTTCCTTTTTATTATTTTAAAATATAGTTACATTTTTCCTCTTTCCCTTTCTTCCCTCCAACCTCTCCCATGTTCCCCCTTTACTGTCTCTCAAATTCATGGCCTCATTTTCTTTGTTATTGTTGAATATATGTGTGTACATATATAAACACAAATGTATAAATACTACTTGCTAAGGCCATTTCATGTTGCTTGTGTGGTATGATTTCATAGTTGACCATGCAGTGGTGAATTACCAGATATGGTGCTCATTCCTGAGAAAGATCCATTGTCCCTTTCAACAGCCATCTAATTGCAAAGATCTTTGAATCTTAAGGAAATAAAGCATATGAATATCAGCCAGTGAAATAAAAAAAGATGACTGATGTCATAAACTTCTGTAATACAGAAGTTAAGTGAAAATGAGATTGTTTTAATTTAGAGTTAAAAAAACAAGAAAAAGGTCTCCTTTATGAATAAATAAAATGTTGCTTAAACTTTGAAAAAGGAGTGATTCCCGTCTTTAGATACACAGCTTTACAAGTATGTTATATACCCTTAACAGTATGCCCTTCATCCAAATTACCTTTCATTTTTGCTTCAGGCATTTCATCTATTTACTGACATTTGTGGTTTCTCCATTTTCTTCAGCTTGAAAACTCTGTGAATGTGAGCCGGACAGACATCAGCAATAACCATGTCTTGATTTACTTGAATAAGGTGAGAGCCCTGACTATCTGGTGCAAAACACATAGAAAATAATCCTCCAGGAACTGTCTGGAAAGTGAGTGTGTTTTAGAGTCATCATCTCAGTGCTAGAGGCATGAGAATTCTAGTATCTCAGTGCTTTCTCTCTCTTGGAGGTATTTCACCTAAGACTATGAGAAGAAATGCCACACTATACTTCTGGGGTATGAATACTTCTAGGACCTGTAAGACATTCTCTGTAACAGTTTTCACTATATCAATCATCTTGAAGACACTGAATAATGTAGAAAATTGGTTATTGTGATCAGTCATTACATCATCATCATCTTTATCAACAGTATAAAAGGAGAAAATGCCACCAATCTCAGCCTGCACTTGGACCACATAATAGTAGAACACCAGTCCACCTGTGGACTATCATGAAAAAATAAGGATCGGGAAAACAGATATGCTGAAGAGATGTTTATTCAGGGAGAAGTAACTTACAACAGAGACAGATGACCACCAGCAGGGTCCAATCCTGAGGATGCCTTGGGATGCCCTCTGTCTCCGAACAGAAAGCAAGAGAGAGCTCCAGGGTCCCCTACCCCAGACCTAGTTCTCCCAAGTCATATCCACACCTGTCCCCACCCCCAATGGGCGTGGTCAGTGCAACAGGTGGGAGCAGGGTGAATATCTCACTACAGTGGACCAATAATTAAAAAGATGGGTGTAGTAGCATGGTTATTCAAACCTCTACTGATAGGAATTGCAGTTCATCTTTTATAGACTTTTTTGGATTTGTATCTGTATTTTTACAAAATGGAAAGGCAAAACTCTACTGAACCTCTGAAATTTAAAAGATGATATAATAGGTAATGAATGGAAAGTTCAGGAATGCACGCACATACACAAATACACACACCATGAACAAAGCCATGTGCTGGCATTGATGAATACAGCGTTTCTCAACCTGTGGGTCACAACCCCTTTGAGGGTTGCATATTAGATATTTGAATTATGATTCATACCAGTAATGAAGTAGCAGCAGAATAACTTTATGGTTGGGGGTCACCACAACAAGAACTGTATTAAAGGGTCGCAGCATCAGGAAGGTTGAAAACCTCTATGTAGTGATGAAGTTACATTAGATATTTAAAGAGTAATTTTTTCCATTTACCCTGAAGGCTTTCTACACCATACACCATGCTGTTATCAGATAAAGCCCCCATCCCCTAAAATCCCAATTAATACTTCTCTGTCTATTCAAAGTAAGAAGAAAGCTCCCAGAAAGTCATTGAGCTTCTTTTGATTTCCAGGTGTCAGGTCAGACCTTAAGCTTGACCTTCACAGTTCAGCAAAATGTTCCAGTAAGAGACCCGAGGCCAGCCATAGTGAAAGTCTATGATTACTACGAGAAAGGTGAGTGTGAGCCACCTGAACAGACATCCAACTCCCAATCACAGAAGGACTTAGCGAAGTGTTGAGTCATCCGTTGGCACTGGCTTCTCATCGCCTAGTGTTGTCTCCATCATGTTGACTACCTGACTTTGCATCTCCCCACTCATATTGGAAACAGCACATTTTAAATGTATCATCCAGTAAAACAAATAGCTGCACAGTTAACTTTCTGTCAGAAAGTCCCATTGTAGGACAATATGAGATTTAAGGACATACAACTGACTGTCGAGAATCTGAAGTAAAAGAAAATGTGTCTCCTTGTACCTGGAAGGGTGCCCAAGGCAGCAGGCAGTGCATCGGGGGAAATGACATGGGTCTTTCTGATGCAGTTGCAGATGTTCATCATGACATCACGTAATGGTGTTTGTGTCCTTTTTCTCTTTCTCTCAGATGAGTTTGCAGTCACTGAGTACAGTGCTCCTTGCAGCAAAGGTAAATAGTTCGCACCCCTTTAAAGCGGCCAGAATTCTTCTGGCTTGTCTCCCAAATTTCCTCCTCAAAAAAAAAAAAAAAAAAAAAAAAAATTCTGCATAAATGACCTTCTTAGGGATTATTTTGCTTATATTGCCTATTATTATAGAAAAACATGTGTGTTGGAGAGGAGCGGATGCCTCTTCAACCCTCAGCTAGTTTGCAGCACTGCTTATTGGGTAATTGTTATGATAAAGCAGGAGGAGAGCCTTGGTGGATCCCATGGGCAAACAAGCCATGTGCAACAGAGACAGTGAAAGAAGACATTAGAGACAAAAAAAAAAAGGCAAAAAGTAAATGGGTTCTATGTCTGGCAGCAGGGATTGTCAGCAGAAACTGACGGAGTAACTCAGGGAGAGAATGGAACGATGGCTAGACCACATGGTCGCTCTCAGTCAAGATGGCGGCTGCCATAAACAAGTTCCCGTCACTGGCAGAAGTTAAAAAGTTTTTAGATATAATTTTGTTGGCTTGTTTCCCATGAGTGAGGCAGAAAGATACGTAAAGCCCATAGGACACCGGAGTCTAAGGGGCACAATATCCAAAAAGACCACCGTAGGTCTGAGAAACAAATGCACCAGTCAGTATGGACGGTGCTAGGGTACAAAAACCGGAAAATCTCATTCATGGGGGAAGAAAAAAGAAAATCAAAAAAACTCTCAGAGCATCCTGAGCAGATGCTGTCTCAAGCCAGCCCACTATGAGCCACTGGCATCTGCATGGAGAACAAACATTGTAGTAGCACAACTAGATGGGAAAGAGGAACCCTCCATTCCGGAAGGGAGGCTCCTGCCCTGAGACGGGCTTAGCCTGGGTCAGGGAGCCAGCAGGATGGTGATGGGTGGCAGGCGGGAAAGAGTTTCAGCATGCCAGGGACAGGAGGGAAACAGACAAGTGAAAAGAGCAGAGGCCACACTTCCAACTGAGGATCACTGATAGAATGTAGAGTGCAAGAAACAGGCACATAGTGTGATATGGGGGCTCAGTTTCCATGCGTGAGGTTGAGAAGATCCAAAGCCTATACTCTCCAATGTCCCAGAGATGATGGGAGGATCAGCTATGAGAGGTGCAGGCTTATTTTGTGGTCCACATAGCAAAAATCAGGAGCCAGGACTCCTGGAGCCCAAGAGAGGCAGTCACTCAGTACTGGGCTTTTCACCAGGCCAAAAAGGCAAGAGGCCACAGTCTCGATACAGTCCCAACTCATGGAAGCATGGGCAGAGGTAGAGAGGAAGGGGCAGACGTAACGGTGGTGGATGGAAGAATCCAGAGTTCCTTTGTTGGAAAAGTGACTGAGTTGAAGGCTACAGGCTACTACAGGGTCCCGGCATATCTCAGACTGCCACGGACAGGAGCAAATGCCAGGAAATCCTGCCGAGTCACATACATCAATGTTATGATAAAGCCCGAGCAGGTTCCATAGCAGGCAAGGGTGACCGAGGCAGAGAGACAAATAAGCCAAGCAGTCAACGCTTAGTGAGAAGTTTTATTAGAAAGGGAAGGGCTAGGCGGTGGTGGCACACACTTCAATCCCAGAACTTGGGAGGCCCAGAGGCAGGCAGAACTCTGTGAGTTGTAGACCAGCCTGGTCTACATGAGCTAGTTCCAGGACAGCCTCTAAAGCCACAGAGCAAACGCCTCAAAACAAAACAAAAACAAACAAAATCAAAAAACAAACAAACAAAAAAAAAGGGAAGGGGGGGAAGAAAGAGAAAACAGGTAAAGAGACACAGAGACACAGAAAGGACAGAAGAGAGAGACAGGAAAAGTCCTGTCTGCCCCAGGAGAACATCTGGAAAGCAGGAGAGCTTAAGTGAGTGGAGGTCTTTCTTTTAAAGGGGTCCTTTGCACCTGGATTGACCATGGTACAGCCTGGTGCATTCTGCCAGGTGTTGGGGGAGGCCAGCATAATGCCTGACTCCTTATAGTAATTATATGTAATGGGTCATTTCTGCATTTCCTCCTGTATTTGTTGAACTGTCTTGGACACTATGCAGGGGCATTGTTTGCTCATGGAAACCCAAGCCCATCTTAATTTTCTTTTCTTTTTACTATTTGCAGATTATGGAAATGACTGAGGACACCATGAATAAAAATGTTTTACTTGGAGCCCTGTTCTTAGGATTTCATAAGAAAAACAGTGTTTTTGTATTTCCAGAGATTTGATAAATAAAACATTTTTCATATCTATTAGTCACCATTCTCTTATTTATTCAGTCTTTTTTTTTTTTTAACATTTCCATGCTTCTAGATCTAGTACTGAATAAAAACTGATAAAAATCAAGAATGAAAGGAATTCAGAATACAAAAAAAAAAAATGATACAGTGATATTGGTCTGGATAGGCTTCATGGGGTGGGGGTGGGGATGAGGCGAAAAGTATTGGCTCATAGCTAGGAGAAAGTAAAGCATGTTTGGTTGTAGGAACACCTTAAGGAAGAGTCTATTTTTATAAGCTACTAGAAGACTCACTTGATCAGACATGATCAAGTGATTTATTGGAAACTAGCCTCACTGCTTGGGGTCCATGTGGTCCGGGAAAGAATGGAGTACTGACAGCCACCATTCATTCATTTACCTTGACTCTCAGACTCCACAGTCAGTGGTTTTGAGACCAAAGCTGTGATCCATGTACGTGTAAGTGTCCTCAGAAGGAGGTCAGACGATATGTGACTGGCCTCCAAGTGGGAGGGGACATGCTAGAGCACCTGCAGCTGCTGGGTCACGAGTCAGGGCAAAAGGATGGAAACAACGTCAAGGGATGTTAGACACAGAAAACAGCTCACAACACCTACTCTCCCGGGCCCCACTCTTTATGCGAGAGTGTGCGCAGGAGATCCCAGAGATTTTTAGGGGAGAGCAGAAGAAAACGAGGACAGAAGAAGGCAGAGGTAAGACTCTGGAGGCCACCCTAGCCTTCATTTGGCATGAAAACAACAGTGTTTACTTCGGCGGGAGATTGGAATAAACTGACACCATGGAAGGACTTTGAAATGTAACCCATCCTTAGCTCTGTTTCCTGGGCAAACACACGCACACACACACACACACACACACACACACACACACACACACACAAAGCAAGCATGTTTTCTGAAAAATTACACTGTAAGTACCTTACAGCTCTAGGCCCTTGCTTTTTGTCTGTGTGGGACTCATTGAAAATGTGTTTTCAGAGAGTGCTTATTGTAAGGAGTATGGTTTTTCCACCCACCGCCTCTGGTCTCGTCCCACCACCGCACTGCCAGCCCCAAATAACACACAGAGACTCTGTATTTGATATTATACTGTTGGCCAGGTGCTAGTTTCTTATAGGCTAGCTCTGTCTTAAGTATTAACCCATTTGTGTTAATCTATGTATGTCCACGTGGTCTTCTTACCCGGAGCCGGCTGCCGCATACTGCTCTCTCCAGACTCTCCATCTTGGCTCTTCCTTACTACTTCCTATTTTTGTCTCCTAGTCCCTCCTATCTTCCTTTCCCATTGGCCAACAGTGCTTTATTCATTAACCAGTATGAGAAACATATACAGAATGACATCTCCCATCAGCTTGTGGCAAATCATTAGCTGTTACACCTAATCCAGAAAGGTTCATTCCTGAACTACCAACTATTTGCTTCGCATCTGGGCAGCCCAGGATTATTTGATAGCCTATACTGCAACAACACAGCAGCATACCTTTCTCTAAGCCAGACTCAGAAAGACAAATGTCATGTAGGGGAGGAGGGCTTTTCTATTCCTTTTTTTATGCCCATGGCGTGTCCTGATAGTCCGTCTTCCATTTAAGCCATTTTTGTTTGACTTACTCCATTGTTCGTATCCAAAATTTCAATTTTGTTATTTCTGCCTCTTAATTGCACTCCTCTTTCTTATACTGTACTGTCTTCCATATTATTTCATTTATCTGTTACTGCACTCAGAAGCTGTAAGGGAGAATGCCCACCTCAGACCTGTCTGTGCCATATGGCTATGACAGAGAGAGAGAGAGAGAGAGAGAGAGAGAGGAGGGAGGGAGGGTGAGTGAGTGACAGAGCCAAAAACTTGTTGCTAGTCTCAAGGAACAAAAGCAGCAGGACAGAAGGAGGCCTGAGACCAAAGGAAGAAAACATCATTAACACTGGGCTCATCCCTGAGTTGATTTGCATATGCACAGGGATTCTGGGGGCACTGATAACATACAGCTCCCTTCTCTGTTTTCAACTACACTGGCTGCAGGAGGCCATTTTGAAGAAGTCACTGCTACTCAACACTGTGCATTCCAGAGTTGAAGGTCCATTTCCCCTCCCTGCACTGCCCATTGTGGGCAGCTAGGGTGCAGAGAAAGAACCCTGCAGGATGCTTCTGGTTCTATCTGCTTACAACTCTCATCCTTACTCCCCTTCCTATCTTTCCAACACATCTCCACCCAACCTCCACTGAATCCAATTAATACTGCCTGCATGCACTCAGGTATGGATCATCTACCTAAGCAGAGGTAAACTACCTCAGGCTTCTACCTAAGCAGTGGTTACATCCCTGAATTAAAAAAAAAAAAAAAAAAAAAAAAAAAAGACTCTTCATCCCCTGTGGCCATCAACTACCCATATTTCCTCATCTAGAGTAGAGCCTCATGAGCCCCTCCCCTACCCATGCTGCAGTCTTGCCTAAGGATCTTTTGAAGTTCTTGAGTATATAACCACAACTACTGTAGGTTTGGGAGTACAGTGGATATATCATGTCCAGAAGACAATATTTCTCAGTACTCCTCCTGCCTTAGCTAGGGTTTCTATTGCTGTGAAGCGATACCATGATCACAGAAATTCTTTAAAAGGAAAATATTTAATTAGGGTTAGCTTACAGTTTCAGAGCTTTAGTCTATTAGCGTCATGGTAAAACATAGCAACGTACAGGCAGACATAGGGCTAGAGAGGGAACTGAGAGTTCTACATCTTCATCTCCAGGCAACAGGAAGTGAACTGTGTGCCACACTGAATGTAGCTTGAGCATAGAAGACCTCAAAGCCCACCCCACAGGGACACACTTCGTGGTGAAGCACTCAAAACAGTCATTTGTTTTCTGCACATTTCCCAGTCATGAGTGTCTTGCAGTAACCATTGATTGCTCAAAAGAGAAAAAGAAGCTTCTTTGCAAAAGTTGACAACAGCAATAATCTATGGGTATAAACATTGATATTAGAAGGTAGTTTGACAATATGTTCAATTTAAAAACAAACAAACAGTAGTAGGTTCCCCTCTAGAGCCCATGATCTTCCCAGCCTCATACTATTGATCAATTTATAGTATCAAACATGAGTTCCATCCCGTGGAGCCATTAGCAACAACAACCCATTTAATTGAAGCAGTAGGTACATCCTATCTGGAAGGTCAAGATTATAGGATGCAGGGTCCACAACTGATTAAGACCACTTGATCACTTTTCCCTGAAGAGGCCTACATACCATCTTCTGGCACTATGAAAGCTAGCCCTGTATCATATTGCTGTTGTATCTGTAGGGTAAAAGAGCCAGCCATAGAACTGCACCATGACCCTGAAAGCAAAGCCAAAATACATACATACATACGTACATACATACATACATACATACATACACTTTGGCCATGAAACCAGAGCCAAAGAAACACACTGTGCCCCTTGTTGTACTTTAAGAAAAACAGCGCTCCAAAGAAAAATGTCATGTGACAGGGTTCACGAAGAGGGGTTTTTAATTAGGGAAAAGGATCATAAAAAGGGAAAAGGGTAGGGGGAGACTGACCTCTGGGGACAGGAGCAGCATGAGAGAGGAAAGAGGAGCAGAGAGAGAGACAGACAGACAGACAGACTGGGGGGGGGGAGAAAAAGAGAAGGATGGAGGTGGGCAGGGCCCTTTTAAAAGAAATCATAGTGAACATGCACAGGTGATGCTCTTAGTGGCTGCAGCTGAGGGCGTGTCCTGTCAGAACCAGTACAGATGCTTGAATACTAACATCCCTGACCAACTCAGCATGGAAACAAACTGATCCCTGAGCATGAAACCAAACAATACCTGAGCACAAAATCCAGCCAATCTCTGAGATTGTTCAAACCCAGGGATTAAAATTTCACCAATTCCGACTCTGAAAATCTTCACTCTGGAGAAATTGTCCCTAAGAAGCCCTATATAAGCCCTGTACCTGTTCAGTTGGCAGCTCCTTTTCCACCCTGGCAGAGGCAGCCACTCTTCTGGATTCCTCCTTCCTAACAAATAAAATAAATGAATGAGTTTCAGGTGAAGACCTCTTTTTTTCACAGGAGTGGATCAGAGAAGGAACTACTTTTGCTAGAGCAGGAGGGAACTGTTACATTTCTGTAGGGTTTCCCCTTCAGCAGAGTGAAGGAGAGAAGCCATGGACATCTCTGCTGGGACACTCTCTTAGCAGACTGGAGTATAGCTGAGCTGTAAAGGCTCTCTCAGAGAGGAGCAGGATTACCACATTCCTTAGGGAAAACCATCCCCCACTGGAACACAGCTATAGGTAGCCTGGATTCCCACAGCCAGGATACCTTTCTTTTCAGAGCCATAACACTTACACAATTGTCAATCAACAAAGTATAGGAAAAGAGGGAAGCAGGATACCCAGAAGTGCTCGCAGGATAGCCCACCAGGATTTGGTGATTATTTCTAAACTCGGAATCACACAGACAGTTCTGATTAAACTCTGTGAGGCACAATAAGGAAAAAGAAATGAAAGCAAGAGGTTTATAGGGAAGGGGGCACTGTTAGAGACTTTGGGGAGGGACTGAGAGAGGGACCAAGATACAGAATATATACACATAAAATTCTGAGCGAACAAAATTTACTAGTAAAAACAAAAACTGTACACAAAAATCAGTCACTATTGAAGTGTCACTCACTATGAACACAACAATCACCACTTAAGCTCTAATCATATTAGATAGTGAAAGAGCAGTGATATGATACGGTGTGAATCAAGATATTAGTTACAGTGTACGTGCTTGAAAAGGAAAAAAGATTAATGATTATTTTTGAACTGATAAAGAGAAAATATAAGAGAGAAAAGTAAATAGAATTGAGAGACACATGGAGTGAGACAGTTTGCATAAAGACAGAAAAAGAGAGAGATAAGAAGTACAATCAAAAGCGTTACAAAGAGTCCCAGGTCCGAGGGAGCATTAACTCCTGGTCTCCATCCCTGCTTCCCACTATGTTCATTCATA